GACTCAGCAGCGAGCGGGCAAGAACCTAGTAGCTTGATCTCTTTTTCCCGATTGATCAGAATAAAATGGAGTCATAGCTACTTCGGCCTCACTCTCGACAACTGGCGCACTGGAGACAAGCGGGCAAGGTACAGATAGTTCAGCCTCCTCACCTTCACTTTCCTTGTGATTTAGGTTCGGCGGGGCTTCTACTACGGCCTCACTCTCATCATCCAGTCGAGTCATAAAAGAATCCTCAAGATCCACCTCCCACTCCTTTACTGAAGGGGTCCTGGTCTTGGGATCAGCAACCTTAGTGAAGACAGGATTACTCTCACCTGTTTTTCCCATTGATCTAGTAACAACACAAGCAGGGTAAATAATATCATCATCTGCTTCCGGTTGAGCTAATACATTATGGGGTTTAGTTAACATGATGGGACACTTGGGCCCTACAACCATTTGGTTGCCAAAATCATTACCTAGAATAATGTCTACCCCAGGAATGGGCAGTTGTTTACTTACACCAACATTACACCATCCTGAAGTATATTTAGAATCAAGGTTAACTTGCAATAAGGACACTGGTTGCACACTACCGGCAATACCCTGGAGAAGCACAACTTCACCCAGATCTCGGGTGTCAACATCATCAAGTACCTTCTGGGTAATAAGAGACTGTGAAGCTCCAGTATCACGGAGTAATTGAACAGTCTTATGTCTACCATTAGTACATAATAAGGTACCTGTGGACATATAGGGTTTGAATTCAGCCATCCAATTGGGACTGACTGTAATACATGAAGAATTAATAGGTTGCACTCCTTTACTCATAATAAGACCAGTTGGTCGGAGTTCAGGATGCAAACTAAAACATGAAGAAATCACATGCCCCCTTCTCTTACAATGGGTACAATGTTTGACAGTGGACACACTGGTATAACCAACTGCCGGTTTAGAATTAGCATTACTAGGCTTATATGATCCTGGCAATGGAGTAACCATCTTAGGGTTAGTAAGAGAAGAGTTCACGGGAGTAACTGTCGCACCAGGAGGAGACTTATACTGATAAGGAGTACGGTGAGCATTGAAATTTACTCTACGACTAGACTTAGGTGAAGTGGCCATAAACGGGGCCTTAGTCAGCAACTCATGCTCATCCGCGAGCTTTGACAGCTCATCAATATCGGTTACATTCTTTTGTTCTGCCATAAAAGTAGACAACTGGTCTGGAAGACAGGACAATACTTCTTCCATTATGAGAAGATTCTTTAGAGCATCAAAATCAGTGACTGCAAGTGACTAACCATCTGTTGCAAAAATTCGTCTTCTGACGAGTAAAATCGGCTATTGTCTGATCCTTGATTCTCCTTAGGTTCCTGAACTTTTGCCTGTGTGCCTCTGGATTTAGTTGGTATGCATTGAGGATGCTTTTCTTTACAAAGTCATAATCAAAACTATGAGCGTCAGGGAGGGATGTGAAAACCTCCTGACTACGCCCCTTGAATTGAGACTGCATAATGGCTACCCACTGATCCCTTGGCCAGTTCATACTGATGGCAATTTTATTAAAATGTGCAAAGAAAACCTCAGGATCTTCCTCATTGAACTTGGGCAACTCTATATACTTATTCATCCTGATGGGATTATTATCACTATTTGTTGAAACATTACTAGTATTTCCATGCCCAGCTGCCATACGCTGCGATTCAAGCCTGAAGTTAGTGTCAGCCATTTGTTGTTGAATCTCTAATTGCCTAGTTTGTTCCTCGGCTTGTTGCTTCTTTGTGGCTTCAAGTTGCAACTCAATTAAACCTCTCTGGTTTTGTGCCGCAATTTCTAAACGCCTAGTCTCCAGCTCCCTTTGCTGAGCTTCAGCCTCTAATATTTGCTGTTGCTGTTGAGCTTCAATCTCTCTTTGACGAGCTTCAGCCTCTAATATTTTCTGTTCTTTTTGAGCTTCAAGCTCTAATTGGCGAGCTTCTAACTCAAGACGCTTTAACGTCATCTGATCACTCGACTCCTCTCTTAACTCTTCTAGAATTTCTTCATCTAAATCCCCATTCTCAACAAAATGCGTCACAATGACTTTCAATATTTGGGCTTTAACCATTCTATTGCTGGCGGTCAAATCCAAATGATTTGCCATTTGTATTAACTCAGTCTTTTTAAGGTTCTGAATCCCTTCAAAGTCTGGGTGAGCCACCAACGCTGCAACTTTCTCCTCCATCGTTACTAACACTTGGCACTTAATTCACAACAATAATTAAACACAATGGCACTGCACTACACTTCACTGTAAAATTGTCACCACACTGAAAATTCGCTTGGCCTCACTGCACAAACAAAATATATAGGATGACTTACCTCAAAATCGTGAAACGTTGTTACTTGACACACAGGAAGGCTTGCTTGGCACATGGAATAGTTCTTAAGAAACACACAGAGACACTTGACACACTGGTACCTAGGAAGGCAAGGTTAGATTAGCATAGTTAAGTTAAGTGGGACAATATTTCCCGGCACAGGCCCCCATAACTCTTTGTTACCTATCGTACGTTACGGCTCGTGATCCTACAGCAGCCAAACTTTAATAAGTCTAGGGATACGACACAACTGCTGTTCTCAATAGCGAATCACCAGTATAACCCCTTAATAAGTACTGAGCACAAAATAGAATCTTCATAGGACTGAAGAATAAAGACACTAATTATAGATATATACTATTATATTAAATAAATCTCAAAAGCAAACAGATGATTATATGGTCACAATATATCACATTAAAAATATCACTGTAACTTCCAGACATTAAATCAATACTAAGAATAATTATATGGCTAGAATAAAAGAATGACTTAACTCCAACAAGTGTTATCTCCCCGGTTTCTGCTCAGCTACTAACAAAATCACGCGAGAATCAAAAGAGATTGCCTCGCCCCGCGAATAAATTGCCAAGTTACAATATTTATTATTTCAACAATGGAGCACTACATTGTGACAAGAGTAATCTTAAACTAACTTAATGAATAATTAGTACATATTGATATAGACAACAAAAGTACGTGTTTCTTTACATAGTAATTAAAATATGCATACAGAATAGCATAATGGCATGCACACCCCAGCAACGGACGATCCCACGACAATTTGCCAGATACAGTTCACTCAATTATTATTTCACTCTGTTACCCACTGATGATCACATATAAATCATTAGTTCCCGTGGGAAAACTGATCACACAAAGAAATAAACAATCATTCCCACGATACGTTGGGCCTAACGCCAACACTGTAACATGAATGTGCATTTGCATAGAACATAAGTATAACAATATACATGCTTGTAATTTACATACAATTATAAATGTACATATTAATATATTCACTTACGTATCTTATAAGGGTACGTAACACTCTCAACCTATGGTATGAATTACACTGAATTTTGTAACTAGCTCATCAAGATTGTAATTTGCTTAGCTAATAAATTGTGGGGTTCAGTCCCTGAGCCCATTATGTGCCTCTGTAACCCTTTCCACTACCGCCCACTAGATGGGTATGGGGTGCATAATAAATGAACTAAACTAAAGGATGCGGTTGTGCCTTCTCCAAAGCAGCTACAGTATGTATATCACTGTGCTGGAAGAAATCTCGCATTTGGATTGGGGTACTTATTTATTATTTAATATGTAATTAAATTTACAAATACTAAATTATTAATTGTTATTAATTACAATTATTTATATATAGCTTAGTCATTTGCATGTATCTAGCAAACGTACATTCTTCTCTTAACTCATTTGTGCAGTATTACTTTAAATCCTTAGTAACCATTATTCATAGTCTTAATTATGTGTTAGACGAGTTACAGAAGTTAACAAAGGTATGTAAACTAAGGCTACTGTCAGAAGTGGAATCCTATTACTTTGAGGGGGTTCCTCCCAAGATAAACAACATAACCATGATAAAAGATGAGTCGCGAGTACATTGGTTTGGTAATGGTAATTAATGGTAAATAAAACGTTTTGGGCTGTTCCTTAATCTAACAGGTAGTATTACGTAGGCAAGTGTAGCACCATTTGAGTTATGTTAACAGGTACATTGTAAGAAATTTTGTTGAGAATTTATAATAGGTACCTTACAGAAATTTGAGGATCATCACCCGGTACCTTGTAGTAAAAATTGTTGGTTATTCTAGTTACAATGTAGACAGATGCGTTCAACATAACAAGAAGTTATTACAGTGGGGAAGTTGTAAGGTTTAGGCACATATATTGGTGGTGTGGGTAGCACGAGAACAGTGCAGGGGGAGCACTAGGATGAAACTAAGAGGATAAAAAAGGGACTTCCTATTTAACTTTGAATATGGCAAGTTTGGACAGCTTTCCATCGTTAGGGAGGGAGTTCCAAGGCTAGTTCCCTAATAATGGGGGATTTTAACCACGAAACCATAGAGTGGATCAACCTAACATCTCAAGCAGAAGGTGAGCAATTTCTCGACCTTGTGCAGAACTCCTTCCTCATACAGCATGTGGTAGAGCCCTGACATGGTAACAGCATACTAGATCTTGTGCTAACAACTTGTGCATTTTTGTATTGTTCTGTGTTTTTTAACTCCTTCAGTTTGCCTCTTAACACCCTGTCTTTTTTTTGTTGCTCAATAACGAGGTTTGGAGATATATATATACTCGGTTATATCCCTCGAGATCTTTTAGTTTGTGGGCATGATTTATTATCTTCATTTTGTGCTAAAAATTGTACACTGGCTGCCTGTCCCCGGACACAATGAATTATAATTATCAGCCATTAGTCCGCAACTCTCGGCATGTTTAAATTGCGCGGTCATTGTTGAAGAGTTTTGACACACATTAGTATTTTATAATCTTGGCTTTAAGCGGCAAAATTTAGGATGTATTTATGAATACAAAAAATATAAATAGGATTCGAGAAGATAAGTGTATTGAAGAGGAAAAAGGTTGAGCAAGTCTTGAGAGGGGAATGATGTAGTGAATAACGGCGGCGGCGTAGTGTGGTGAGCCTGGCGGCGGTGGCGGTGGTGTTGTTTATGTTTTGCGGCGGCGGCGTCAGCGAGGCTCCCGGGACGGTGGACAGGTCGCTGGACACCCTCGACAACCCCACCAGCTGTGCTTCCCTCACTCTCTCCAAGGCCACTATGACCATGGCATACCCCAACCAGCCGCCTCAGCGCGGCAGACCGCCACCCAACACCTCCCAGATACAGAAGGTAACACCCGGGGCCACGACGGTCCTCGCTAGCTGGTCGGCACCCACAAATGATATATTTTGGATGATTGTATGTGTTTTGCAGTAGGTTAAGGCACCGGGATGGTGACAGCTGTACTAAGGTAAGGGGAAGAAAGCGCTCCATCCCATCAAGGCATCATAATCGTTGATTGTTTGATTGATAAAGATTATGCCACCACAAGAGGTGGTACGGGCACGAGTAGCCTGTAAGTGGTAGATGTTTGGAGTGAATGTGGTCATTGGTCGTGTAACATCCTTAAATGTCTCTGGGTCTGTCGATGTTTGTTTGACCAAAGGGTTACCAAGGTGGTAATTTGAGCCTGCTCTCAGGGTAAAGTGATTACAACTAAACAACAAACTCCCCGCACTCAAATTTTGGATTCGTGATCCCAAATTTGCGGACGGAGCCGGCCAGTGGGACAATCTTGCCAACCCTTGCCCATGACCAACTTTTCCAAACGACTGCAAACAGGCCAAATGGGACAGCCCCATAATGGAGAATATTGCCACAGCATTGCTGGAGGCAGCGTCTGAGAAGGACAAAGCGCGTCTCATAGCTGTGCCAGCTCCTTATGCCGGGGACTTCCTGTTGGCCGTCCCTAATTCTGCCTTAGGCTCCCACCTGGACCATTGGGCCCCAAGTATTGGTGTTGCCCTGCGCCTTTCCGTCCCTGTCTCCACCGAACACCGGTGTATTTGTGGCTATGCGTGGGCAGACCAATAGGGCAGCCAAGGTCTCATCTGTTGTAAGTCACCGGGAAAGATTGACAGACATGAAGCAGTCAATAATATCAAGAGAAGTTTGACTACAGCTGGGTGTCCAGCACAAAGGGAACCTCTTCTTCTTGTTGATAGTAGGTGCAGTTTGCATGAAGGGTTTGTCCTCCCGATGACTGCACCAGTACTGATGTTGTTGGACGCGTTTATGTTGAAGATGATCGGAGCTACCAAGGTGCTTGTTGCGTTCTGCTGTAGATAGAGGAACGGTGATTAAAACAGAGGTGTGTGTTAGAAGGAGACTTGCCGCACCGTAGGGCGGTGTGTTGTGTTTATGGCGTCAGCTGATCCTTGGTGTTGCGACGAGGTAGTTGTTTTCGGTGTTTAGCTGTTGGTGGCGCCAGGTATAAATGTGGCGCGGGTCAGATGTGACCCAATTTGTTGGTCGATTGGAGATATTTAGCCAGTGCTTTGACTATTTGGTATTTTTCTTGTGACGAGTGGTCACCGCCTCCTAATATATGCTCGATGGTGAAAGGTATTTTAAGTGCGATAAAGACTTGCTTGAAATTTACTCTGGCACTATAATGTCGGAAGCAGTGCAGGAGATAGTGTTCGACTGTTTCAGGCACCTGACAGTGAGTACAGAGTTCGTTGATGTCTGTTCTGTACTTAGAGCTGTGTGTTGCTAGTTTGGTGTGTCCCAGCCTTAATCTGGTCATCGTTACATCAATTTCTCTGCTTTTATATCGGACATGTTTCCAAGTTTCCCATTTCTTTTTAATGGACCCATAGTGCAAAGGTGAGCATAACGTTTTCCAGTTTGTTGCAAAATCCTGGGAGATGGTATCTTTGAAGGGAACCTCAGTTGTGCAGACCTGACAACAGTAACAAACACCCAGACAGAGTCACCCTGATGCCATGGAGGGATGGTAAGCAGGTCGTGTGGGACTACACGGGTGCGTCTACATTGGCTGATACATATCTACCTCGCAGTATAGCTGAGGGAGGCGGGGCGGCCACCTTCAGGGAGACCCAGAAAACTAACAAGTACAGAGACCTAGAACGTTGTTACAGGTTTGGGCCGATAGGCTCTGAAACCCTGGGCACCTGGGGTGCATTTAGGTTCCTAAAGGAGGTGGGTGAGGAACTCATTGGGAAAACTAAAGACTCAAGAGCGGCCAGTTTCTTGTTCCAGCACCTCAGTGTCACAGTCCAGAGAGGAAATGCGTGCTGTATTTTGGGCATGCACCCAACCTCCGAAGAGCTGGATGAGGTCTTCGAATATTGATTATTGTGTGTGTGTGTGTATTATTATAATATAGATATAGCACGTGTATATATAATGTACCCTGTACAGTACAATACTAGGTATTGTGCACTATTTTATAAGTAACTTTTCAACTGAGTCTATTGTTTCAGATGCTGGATGAGAATTCTCAGTTGATCAAGACAATCACTGAATATCAAAATCAGGGAAAACCTCAAGAGTGCTTCCAGTAAGTATAGAATGGTTTTTCCTATATCCTGAATGTGCTGAAACATGAATGTGAAAGTATCGTTAGTCTGTATTTATCAAGTATTTTCTGTACAGGACAAATTAAGAATTATATAATAAAAATAGGATGCATTTTTATGCCAATCATTTTATTTGACTACATAACAAAATTAAAATATATATAATATACCACATTTTTGCTGCACTTTATTACCTGCATATTTTAGTTAAAATCTCGATACATATTACATCTACAGACATTTTTGTGGTACCATTTTATAGATAAACAACTCTTGCTTGCTCTATCGTGTGTGTTTCCATGTAGCTACAGTAATATATTGTGTAAATCTTTTTTTTGCCAGGCTGCATACTGGTAATTATATCCAAAATTAGTTTTACGTCTCCTAATTTAAAAAACCAGGCTGCAACTCAGCAGTGTTAAAATATTTTTCATTAGTATATTGATACTCAATATTATTATATTTTTCTTAGTAACATGGAAATTATTTGTTTAGGTACCAGCAGTCCCTGCATCGAAATCTAATGTATTTGGCGTCCATGGCAGACACATCACAAAATATGGCTCAGCTTCTACCAGTAAGTAACATTAATTCTTTCTTTCTGGTGATGCACTATCCATCATTCAAAAACCTTATGTTCTTGTTATGGCACAGTATTATTGATTCATAAATTTTCCCTAAACATGAATTTTGCTTCATAATATTCTGACTGCAAATCATGCACCTCACAAGTGGATGGAATTTAGCAGACCATATGATGGATGAACCATGCTCTCTAATATGCTGGAGGACTCTTATATAATGGTCACCATCAGCAACTTTTCAAGTGTTTGATTTCTTTGCCATGACATGGTACAGAGTCTGGGGTGAAAACATTCAGAAACCTAACAGGCAGAATGGTAGGGACAGAAAGAGTGCCTATTGGAAATCACAAGGACTTAGTAGCTCCTGAAAAATCTCTCACTTCATCAGCAGACTTGGAAGTGGACACTGCTTCCGAAGATGAATCCATGGGAAAACTCCAGCACCGACTGTTACAGACCAAGCGGGGAGGTTCAGTACTTGGAGCATCTTGGAAAACACACCCCAACTCCTGACTTGGTAGTATGTGGTGTAGGAAGTAGTGCACTCACCTAGTTGTGCTTGCAGGGGTTGAGCTTTGGCTCTTTGGCCCACCTCTCAACAGCTGGCGGGGGGGAGGGCTCCAGCAACATGCTGGCAGGTGGCCTCCAGCAACATGCTGGCAGGGGGGACCTCAAGCAACATGCTGGCAGGGGGGACCTCAAGCAACATGCTGGCAGGGGGGACCTCAAGCAACATGCTGGCAGGGGGGACCTCAAGCAACACGCTGGCAGGGGGGACCTCAAACAACACGCTGGCAGGGGGGACCTCAAGCAACACGCTGGCAGGGGGGACCTCCAGCAACACACTGGCAAGGGGAGCCTCCAGCAACACACTGGCAGAGGGGGGCCCTCCAGCAACACACTGGCAGAGGGGGGCCCTCCAGCAACACACTGGCAGGAGGGACCTCCAGTAACACGCTGGCAGGAGGGGGGCGGGCGGGCCTCCAGCAATATGCTGGCAGGAGGGGGGGGGCTCCAGCAAACACGCTGGCAGGGGAGGCCTCCACCCTGGCAGGCTTCCACACTCCTATTGATTGACGGTTGAGAGGCGGGACCAAAGAGCCAGAGCTCAAACCCCGCAAGCACAATTAAGTGAGTACAATTAGGTGAGTACAGGCTTCAGTTATAACAAGCCTAAAGAGACGGACAGTACTTTCATCTCGTGACTCAACTTGGCCCATCCCAGGATACATTGCTCCAATCATCAATACTTCACTAAGTATCACAGATAAATCACACTCTGCACTGACTCGGCCAATTGTTTCTACTGGAACACGTCTTGAGTTCAGGACTGCCCTGGGTGAACCGATTCCTGTCGACCAAGTTACCACCCACATCACTTCTGAAGAGTAAAATGTGATTAGTAAGAAATAAACTACACAGGGATCAATAAGATCACAGCCTTCCACCGGGGAACAGAAAATGGAGTTGGGTGCGCTCAACAGATGGTGTCGACATTGTCACACTTACGAATGCATTTCCGAGTTTCATTTCATGGCTTGGATTCACCTTCCCTATACACACATTTCCTTTGTGTCACCTTTCCCTAAGTTAGGCTCGAATGGACTACAGTCGTTCTTGCTGCAAAACCAACGTTGTTTGAAATTGAGTAAAAATAGCTTTGTTCCAATTTCTGGCTGTGATATGAGGTCCCAGCTCTGTCCTGGCTGACAGATAACCTTGTTTTCATTGGTCAAGTAACTGCCTTTTTGATAGATGCAAGCAATTGAGTGGAATGAGGTTAATATTGTTGTTCAGGTCTTGCTTGTAGGCACCTCTTTTATAGCTGTTCCTACTCTTGTAATAGGCTTCTGTTTGCTCCTGTCCTTGCTCTTGATGTCAAGGTTTGGCCGCTCTTTGTCTAGGTGCACAAGTTGCCATTCTCCAGCCTGTGTGAACTTCAAGATTTTGTTTCCAGCATCAATACCTTACTTTTTTTTTTATGCAGTAGGAGTTGCTGGACGTTTGTAGGAAAGAATATACTCCAAGAAGCTTGTAAAACACACAATATTTGTAGTCACTAAGTTCAAAATATTTCGATTTTATGTACTTGTATCATTTTAAAAATATTTATAAAGGGGGGAAACAAAATGATAAAATAGTAATGATTACTTTGTATTTAAGCCCCCACAGATGCCAGGGCAACAGGGTCAAGGAAATGAAGGGCCTCAAGGTGGTCCTCCTGGACAGGGCCCTCCGGGTCCTCATCCTCCCCCTCCAGGAGCATACCCAGGACAACAGCCAACTCCTTACAGGCCACCAGGTCCCCCAGGCATGAGTGGTGGACCTCCAGGACCTGGGGTTGCAGGGTTTAGGATGCCGTATGGACAGTTACCTCATTCCCAAGGACCTTATCCACAACCCTACCCACCCCAAGGACAACAGGTATTCTTTCAACATGATCAAGTCCTAGTGGCACATACAAGGCAGCTCCTATTCATACCCAGTGCATGTACAAACCCATGTGCCTGACACTTTTCACCAAGTTTGCTTCTGTAATATTACTTTTGCTAACTTTTTCTGTAATCATTATTTCCAAGACTAGTGCTTACATATTTTTTGTACAGATCTAATCTTCTCCAATTTCTATCCATTGTTTTGTTTTCTAACTTTTGATTGCATTTTTGGAACTTGGTGATACAGGATGGGGTACAAATAACATTCCTAAGGGGTACAAATAACTTTCCTAATTTGTTTTGCCTATAACTTTTGAAAAATGTTATAAAAAACACACACACTTTAAAGACAGTAGTACACTATTATTTAATGGAGATCCAATATAATTAAACTTGAAAATTAATCTTGTAAATGACTGCTTTTGTTGCACTAGTGTATCTGTGCTCTTTCAATGACATTTTTAATCATTCAAAACATTTGGTAATTTTTTGTTAATTTTTGGTATGATGTTCTTTAGCTGCAGCAAATTACAGAGTTTGTTAACACATGTGTGTCCCTGGAGATACTTCCATAGAAAATAATATGATGCACTTAAATCAGAGACCACGAAAAAGAGTTGACATCCCCAACCATGAAATAATTAGAATTCGATTAATAACCCTCAAAATTGCCATTGTTTCTGTGAATGTAGGAAGAGGCCAGACATTCAAACATTCCAGCGATACAAAACAGCACGAAATAACTACATGGCAGTCAGTAGAGAGGCAGAAAGAAATTTTGAGAAAGGGATAGTGGACAAATGTAAAACAGAACCAGGTCTATTCTATAAATTCATTAAAAGCAAATTGCTGGTAAAGGATAATATTCAGTGGTAGAAAATGGGAAACAGATTCACAGAAAATTAAAAGGAAATGTGAAACCTTAAGCGAACAGTTTCAAAGTGTGTTTCCAAAGAACCAGACACAATAAGAATTCCAGTGAACAACATAGAGCATATAGAGGTTTTAGAGACAAAGTGGACAAAAATACTCAAGGGGCTAAGTAAGAACAAGGTAGTTGGCCCATATGGAGTTTCACCTCGGGGGCTGAGAGAATGCGCACCCGAGTTCAGCATTCTCCTTCAATTGATTTTTCAGGAATCCCTATGTACAGGAGCCCTAGCAGATATGTGGATAAAGACTAACATAGTTCCAGTCTACAAAAGTGGCAGAAAGGAACCCCTTTCCCCTCAATTATAGAACTATATTATTGACAAGTGTAATAGTCAAAATATTGGAAAATAAATAAAATGAAATAGGGTAGAACATCTGGAGAAAAATTATATAATAAGAGTATGATTTTTGATCTGGAAGATCCTGGGCAACAAATTTACTTAGTTTCCATGATAGAGCCACCAGAGATTATACAGAAAAGAGATGGTTCAGATGACTGTATCTATCTGGGCCTAAAAGAGGCTTTTGACAGAGTTTCTCATAAGAGGTTGTTCTGGAAATGAACACATTGGAGGAGTGACAGGTATGCTTTTAACTTGGATGAAAATTTTTCTGACAGAAAAATAAGGGCAGTAATCAGAGGCAATATATCGGACTGGAGAAATATCACGAGTGGAACAACGTACTGGAGTGAACGATATGGAAGAAAATGCAGAACCAGTGAAGAGCAGAGGTGCCATAGACACAATCGGAGAACACTGTATAAACATCAGGGGTTTACGGTTGTTCAACATCCTACCAGCGACTATTAGAATTATTGCCGAAACAACCGTGGATATCTTCAAGAGAAAACTAGACTGTTTTCTAAAAAAAATGCCGAACCAACTGGGCTGTGGTGGGTATGTGGGCCTGCGGGCTGGGCTTGGGGAGTAGAAGAACTCCCAGAACTCCATCAAGCAGGAGTACCACAGGGTTCAGTTCTTGCACCGGTAATGTTCATTATCTACATAAACAACCTACCAGAAGGTATACAGAATTATACGAATATGTTTGCTGATGATGCTAAGATATTAGGGAAGATAAGAAACTTATGCTTGTCATGCCCTTCAAGAAGACCTAGACAAAATAAGTATATAGATCACCACTTGGCAAATGGAATTTAATGTGAATAAATGCCATGTCATGAATTGTGGAATAGGAGAAAATAGAACCCACACAACCTACAAATTATGTGGAAACAAAATTTAATACTTTTGTTGCATTTGACATTCCATTGCTTTTTTGCCCATTTGAGCAGGAGTCTAGCAATTTTACTTGTATCTAAAATATTGCACAATAGTTACAGTTGTTGACATTATTAACTTTATTTGCAGTATGGTCAGGGAGGATACCCACCAGCATCATCTGGTCCCCAAGGCTATCCTGGTAGTTCTTCCACACCACCTGCACCTGGTGCCAAGGGATATGGAACACCGCCACCCCCTTCCTCCACCCCAGGTTATCCACAATGCCCTCAAGGACCACCAAGTTCCCAAGCTCAGGGTCCTCCACCACCAAACAATCCCACTGACTTCAGCCAGTCATCACAGCAGTTCTCTGGTACACCACCTACTTTCACATCTGCTCCAGCTTCAACACCATCAACACCATCAACATACTCTGTTCCATCATCTCAGTATCCAGGAAGTGGCCCTACATCTCAACCTTACCAGATGCCACCATCCTCTGCTCCTCCTACATCAACCTCATCAACAATGTCAGGTCCACCACAGTCCACATCAACTCCCCCTACATCATCATCATCAGGTGGGCCAATAACTTCAACTGCACCCACTGGACCTACATCAATGTATGGTAGTGGACAACCTCAACAACCAACTCCACAACAGTCACAACCACCACCCCAATCACAGCCACCTCCACAAACTTCACAGTCTCAACATCCTCCTACACAACCACAACCCCCACAGCAAACTACCTCACCAAATCCCCCACCGCCTGTTCCGGCCTCAGCACCAACGCCACCTACATCTCAAAGCTATACTGGTACACCTCCACCTGTATCTCAGACAGGGCCACCCACTCAGGCTCCCCCACCACCACAACAGGCCCCTGGCCCTTATCCACCCCCTTCTCAGCAGTATCCAGGTAGTGGAGGCCAAGGGTATCATCAAGCCTATCCTCCTAGCCAGTATCCACCTAGTTCTCAAGGGTACCCACCACCAGGTCAGTATCCTGGTGGACAGCCATACCCACAACCCTATGGCTCTTACCCACCACCACCTGGAAGCCATCCTGGCTATGGTGCACCTATGCCTAATGCTCAACCTGGATACCAGCATCCTTCAGGACCAGGATATGGGCAAGGTTATCCTCCACCTCCTGGGGGACAATATGCACAGTACAGGCCTTCACCTGGCCAAGGTCCTCCTCAGGGACAGTTTCCTGGATATGATCAGAGCCGTTACCCAGGTTATCAACCACCACCACCACCTTCAGGCCCTCCTTCTGCTCCACATTAGCATTTGTGTGCCTGTCTTATAGATACTTTTCATTTTTTTACTAAATTAGTATATGTAATTAACTAATTTTCAAGTTTAAATTTTTTTTACATAATGGGGGAAATTAGTACACTAGTATACTCAGATCATATACACATACAGTACACTAAAAAATTTAAATGTTTTCATATTTCGGTGAATTTTAAATTTAATGTCGATGGCTCACACCTGTTAACAGATAATGAATATTAGTAAACGACTGATTTCAATAAGGGTTAAAATTCCATGATTTTACATAAATCTGACATATCTACATAAAGTATTTAGATGTTCTAGCAAGTGATGAATAAAAAAAAAAATTGGGTGTTAAAGTTGAATCTGTAATACTGTCAAGAAGTAGCAATGCCTAATTGTTACCCAGAATATCAATTTTTTTGTAATGAATATATTTACATTTTTTCATCATCCATTTTAACATTTTCATGGGGTGGGAGGTATCAGCCAGGATAAAATAAGGTTATAGATTTTAAATTAGTAAAACATTAAATTATCACTTTTCCATTAATGATATACAGTAATTCACGGATAAAATGAATGCTACCACACTCCAACAGTCATCCACAGTAACACACTACTGCTTCATAAGACCAGGTTAACAGTGATCCTTGTGAATTGTAATGCACCTTACAGTATCTGCAAATACATTTATTCTTGTTCTTGCAAGCTGCTTCCACCCAGCCTTGACCTTGCTCATATCTTGTGTGGTGTCCACACTCGGTCCCCTCTTCCTCGTACACACACGCACAACATGTCCATCCACTCTCTTCCTGGCCTTCCAATCCTCCATTACAGTATTAAATGCAATTCTGTCTTTAATAATTAGGAAGTTACATTAATGTTTTCTTGAGCGTAATTTACCATCAAATCTTGTATAATGAGTATTTTGAAGTCTTATGTGATCGTGTTCACTGCTTCAGTAAAAACAAACAAAAAACAAAACAAAAAAAATTGTAAAATAGTTAAGAATATCATGCACACTGTAGATAAAGCTATTATGTGCCTGATAAATTTCACAAAAAATATATACTGTACATGCAACTTGTCTACATGAAGTGCATTTATTCTTGAATATTATTCGTAATGAGTATAAATATATTACTAGTATGTATAGTTCAGCTAAAAAGTCACGATTCATTTTTTAGAAGCCAAAAAAAGTCTAGCTTTGTTGTTTTGCCATATTTCTCAGAAGTGAGAATTTGTGGGTCCATTTTAAAGTACAAAGTACAAACTTGTTATTGTGTTGACCAAGGCAATTAAAGTAGCCAAATGGAATATGGGTTATTAGCATCGACAATACCATTTGTGGTTTTATTCTTACTTGCAAATTTTAGGCAGTGATTTTAATCAGTTATATGCATTTCTGTTCTCGTATTGGCATCCTTGGTGATATTTAGCGCCCTCTGATCATTCCGCACATTTGATGGTGCTACATAGCCTTCCCGGTTTGGTGCCTTCTTTTGAATACTTACTTTAATCAGTTTTTTTTACTAGGAGTAACTCGAGCCTTGTACAGATATTATATCGGTAAGTATACAGTGGTAACTATATGCACCACCTAGTTTTGTTCATGGTTCTTTTTGTCTTGTCAAAATAAATTCATGCATACAGAATCCTCATCCATTTTAGTTGATTTCCACTTACATCCAGTTATCAATTATAAGAAATGACAGTTGCTTGGATGTATTAAAAAAATATATAAAGGGTAATGGCTACTGCCAGCAAGTATACTAAGTAAAGAAACTGAATATTAAAGAAGGCATTGGTAAATATAAATACCATAGGTATGTATATACACAATAACACGAACAGTGACAAAGTATTAGATCAGAAGTAATTACTAGGTACTGGATAGCAAAGTGGTAGGACATTGCCCCCCTCCCTCATTCCCCTACCCTCCCTGTAAAACATTTTTAAAGTGACATTGTTTTATTAAAAAGAAAATGTTTATGCTTTACTGTTATGAAAATATGTTTTGCATATTTAGAGGACAGTTATTATGCAGACCATAGGTCTTCATAGTGTAATTTCTAAACATTTATTTATAATACATATTGGTTTATATTGCTGGGTAAATAGTTTATGGAAAGGTGTTGGGAATGGCTTTTTACAGGGTTGGAAGGAGTATAGTATTTATAGGTGCAAAAAGAGTGATAGGAAGGCAACTAGCATCCTGGAAAAGAAAAGTGGTATAGTATATGCAGTAAAACCTTGTGAAAGTCTAAAAGAAACAGAAAAAGGCTAGAAATGGGTACTTACATAGGACTTATCATAGGTTTTACTAATGTAACTGTCCCCTCAGATGGAAGTTTCTGGGAAGTTCTCCACGGTATCTCGTTGAGTAGTTCATCCGTAGTCCTAAAATCACAGCTGTCACACCAGGCTCCAACAAATCATGAACATCTACCGAAGACTAGAATTAGAATCTGGCCCCTTCGACAGGTATTGGAGATTCTGCTCTCTTGGCTTCTCCAGCTTTGGCATGGTACCTTATCTCCAGCTCATCTCATTTGGAATGTTTCAGTTCAAGCCGTCTTATGGCTAGCTGTCATTCCCGTTTAAAGATTGTTTAGGATGAATAAGAACTTTAAAGGGTTCATTTTCTATTTAAGCTTAGAGCTCAGAAAATTTTAATATTATAGTTCCAAGTCTCATTCCTTCACACAGTGCCCAACCATTTGGACTGGACAGGAGGACTGTCTTGCTTCTTTCAGGTTGGTGCTCAATCCCCATCTTTCCAAGTGGTTGGATACCATTCCTACCATTTGGGTTGGGTTGAGTACCCTCCATCCTTGCATAGCCTTCCTGGTTTGGTGCCTTCTTTTGATAATTACTTACTTCCCTCCATCCTATCCTAATCCTTTATTCCCATACCCCTTCTAGGTGCTATATAGCCGTAATGGCTCGGCACTTTCTCCTGATAATTACCTTGCCTTTCACACTGAGATAAAAAAAGTACAGTATTTCATCCCCCTATTTTGGTGGATATTTATGAACTTGTTTTGATTTTATTTCAAGGCAGTGTGCAAACTTTTATGTCCAAAATATAAAAGTGCAAATAATGAGAAAATCAGTAGGAGCCATGAGAGGTTTCAAACCTATGCTTTGGTTACTCCCAAGCAAATGCCTTAGACCACTGCACCACGACATGGTAAAAAAAAAATGCAACCTGGCATTCAACTGAATCTTCTAGGGGGTTCTGAGACTTACTGAAGGCTAATCAGGGTTTCACACAGCGCCCCTGTGCACTCTGGTTACAAGTTTAGGAGTTCTACCTTCAATGCTTCCCCAACTCAGAGATTACAACCAGAGTGCATGGGAGCAATGCATGATTAGGCATAAGTTCAAACCCTCGGGACTCTTAAAGGATTCAGTTAAATTCCATTCACCTAGGCTCTAGGAGAATTCTGTTAAATTCCAGGTTACATTACTTTTGACCATATTGTGGAGGAGTGTTCTAAAGTGTTTGCATGGAAGTACCCAGAGCATGGGCTTGAATCCTCCTCTTGGCTCTTACCGTTTTTCTCATCGATACATCACGTTAATGTGATTTCTTTGTGCAGTGCAAATTTGCTAGGAGAGGAAGACTACATTAATCCAATTTGTGGACTTGCTAAGAACATAGCCACTAAGTTTACTAAAAATATGGCAAGTGACTGAGTATAGAGGGAAAATCAGTATACAGTATTATGAACCTTGGATGCAAGTACAGTGGAACCTCGAGTGACGAGCAGCTCCAGTTACGAGCATTTCGAGTAACAAGCAAGCCACTCGCAGAAAATATGTCTCGACTGACGAGCTTTCGCTTGATTAACGAGTGTTCCCGCTGGTTCTCGGACACCTCCGACGACAGTTTTGTTGTTTCACAAGACGAGTTTTCCACGTGACGAGCTCGGTGCCGGAATGGATTAAACTCGTTCATCGAGGCGCCACTGTATGCGAATACTGTAACTGCATAACTCACCCAGTTTGTGAAAATTGCAATTGAATTATTTGCTTTGATGGTTAGAACATCCTAAATTATATTTAAGACAGTTTTGACTTCTGTGACTAAATAATCTGTCAGGCTTAGTGCATTCTTCTGATCATTTCTTGGTGGTCAAAATTAATGTACATTTCAAAAAAAGCAGATAATTTGCATATAATTATAAAGGTGTTTAAATAAGTAGTAAGGTACAATGTGGAAAATGCCCATGGTTTGAAAGGCTGGTATAGCTTTGTTCTATGGTATTGTGCCCACACCTTTTGGCATAATATTGTCGATATAGTCATGCTAACTTAAAACTATCTCTTGGCAATTATTTTCCTTACCTTGCATAAGTAGTGATGGAAAAATGAACAGAGAAAAACAACAGTACTGTATGCTGGAACTTAGTTTATAATTGGGCCAGAGACTGTGGCTATTATTTGTACATAGAATATAGCTAAAGCAAAATAATGGTGTTGGCTATGTGAAATTTTTTCACTTTAGAATGTGTAAGTGGACAACTAACAAAATGTTTGGCAAAGATTTTGTATGCACTACCTTGCTTTAGAGGTTGAGAGGGCCTGCATCACAGGTATATAAAGTTGACGGTATGGATGCTTAGTAGCTGTACATAATGTAATAAAGTTTTTCTGTTGAGGAGAATCATATCTGTGGCATATTTTAAGGCTTCTGATTAACATGAATAAATTTTTTGTAAAAGGGCCTCATGAAGGTTTTAAATTAATATACTTATGGTATATTTAAATGGGTTGTGCTGTACATAGTTAACTTTACATGTTAATAACAAGAAACTGCCTGTCCTAATAGAACGTCTCATTTTGACGTACTGTATACTCTACCTAAGGCAAAAAATTGTCGTACTAGAAAAATGGTAGCTGCTCACAAAATTTACATATTGTCACGTATTCTGTTTTGGGGTCTTCTGGTAGGGTTGGATAAGGGCAAGTTAGTATGACAGCTTGACATTGGGAAACCCTAGGACGACAGGCTGCAAGAAAACCTTGTACATTTTGTACATATTCCGTTTTTTAAACATTCAGCTGTGTAATATGATTTTTCTTAAGAATTGTTCAAGATTTGTATGTAGCATTGTCTGCCAGTTGTGGTTATTCTTAGTAGTGTAACCTCTCAAATTCCATCCTAATGTATACACAGTTTTGGTAAATACTGTAAGTGTCATAGAATATGGAAGCATAATTTTACGCAAGAAAGTGTCTGTATATTGTAGGATTGAGCTTGTACCAGTGCGGCTTTACTGCTAACACTGCAGTTTTATAAGGAACCAAATTTGTTCATACTTTGGCTCATAATTAAAAAATGTTACCTAAATTGTACAGTTATTAATTCTTGTATTGTATAATGCATATGTATTATGCAGTCAATGTACTTTTAGGATTTTTTTTTTTAACTTTAGAGCCAAAATGATATTTTACTAGTTATGGAATTAGTTTATCTAATGGCAGTATTGAACTGACCCACTACTAACATGAAAAAGTGTTGGTTAATCAATACAGTATTATTAAATATTTACTATTGGCAATATTTTCTATTACAGTACTGTATATACAATTTTCAGATTTTATGTGGTCATTATTTAAAAAACCCAGTCACTGGAATGCAACCTCACTAGCCAAGGATTATAATTATACTTTTCACCACCCTTGGTAGATGCAGCAGATACAGTATTTTGAAACTTCACTCCAAAAAAAAACCTGATTGGCCAGTTGGGTTTTACTAGTCACAACACAAAATCTGCAGTGTCACTTAATTCCATAAATATTGTGGACTTTCAAAGTCAAGAAATGATACATATGCTATGTTTAGTGCATTTGTGGTCGTGTTGATAGGCTGAACAGTATTGTCACGTCAGGAGACAAAATATTCTTCTACAGTGAAAAGAAGAATGTATCATAACTTTAAGCTGGCAAAATAGTGAAATTGTGTAAGTAGAATGAATGAGTCCTCGTTCATTTATACAGTACGTGTATTTCATTTTAAATATTTGCTATGTGCTGGCTTTGTATGTTCATAATTTTTGCAGTCGCCAAATGCCTGTTTTTCCCACTTGCATTGAATTTGGTGCATTATAATTGAAAATGTTCAATAATTTGGTTAATCATTACTCTTTTAATCAAATTAGTAATTCTGCAAAAAGAAAAATATTAAATTTCTTTGAACATAATGCAGTTATAATTACTTATTGATATTTGCCAGGCATCAATTTGTACTACAGTATTTAAAGTAAAATAAAATTGTACAACCTTTAATTTCCCCCATACAAGTAAATAAATGTAAATGCAGTATATTATTTACTAACCAAGTACATTATAAGTGTAGAACTAAATGGATATGAATGCAAGGGTTTTAAATATTTAAGATTAGCTTATGCAAACATGGAATAATACAACATGAGATTTCAAGAAGACCTGGACAAACTGAAGGAATGGTCCAACAAATTGTTGTTAGAGTTTAACCCGAAGCAAATGTAATGTAATGAAGATAGGTGGAGGGAGCAGGAGGCCAGATACAAGGTATCATTTGAGATAAAATTCTTCTAGGATCAGAGAGAAACCGGGGGGAAGGAACAGTCAGTAAGGAACAAGACTGACTGCTACAGGAAGCCCGGGCAACGTGTTACTAATAAGGGAAAGATCAAAACACTGAAACCCCTGTGACATGTACAATCACGGGGGCCTAGCGGAGGGCCAACAAAATATTATAAATGGTCTTATAGCCACACCAGGTAAACGAAACAAAAAGTAAAAGTAAAATCCCGCAAAAGTACAACGTCCCCAGTGCAAACAGGAACCGGCCACTGCATAGGTAAGCTGGCTGCGCAACGGCTTGACGCCCCAACCAGCAACAATACCACTCCCTACCCAAGGCCAAACAAGGGTCACGAAACCTCAGCTGGACCCAAGGGCAGGGTAAATGCCGAGCAACAAAAACCCCTATGGAAATGGGGTCCCGAAAGCACTAGGGAAAAACAGAACCCTGACAACCAAGGATAGTACTCACAGAGCACTTAGGGAAGACTGCCTTAAGCGCATGCAGCCACGGTACACTTAAGTACACCTGGCCATCACACCACGAACTGCAGAGGACACCACTAAGGCATCAAACTAGAGTTGCTGGGTATCTGGGGCTCCCCCATTCCCCTCCTGGAGAGGGGAAGGGTGTGCGGAGGAGCGAAAAGGTGTGACGTTTGCTTGTTTCCTTGGGAATTGACGGAGTTAGGTTTTCGCCTCTTTCTGCCTCTGGTTTTTGTTTGCAATTTTCTTACCATTGGGGGTCTGTTTTGTTATGCCTACCTTTCTGGGTACCTAACCCCAGTCGATGGCAGATTAGGAAAACCCCCAACCACAGGAGCCATTGCTCCCTGTGCCTCTCTGAGAGGGCCAGGTTCTGGCTCGTGGTCCCCGGTAGGCTGAAATCCATTGACTAATGCCCTAGTCTAATGTATCACATATTAGCCCAATAGCTACAGGGATCCGGAGGAACTCTCCATAGAAAAGTGCAGTTGGGAAAATATATTGTACAGTATCTTCAAATGGTGTCACAAGCCTTTCAGGTCAAAAAGCCAAAGCTGGACTCCCACAAGCACAATAAGGAGAGTACTGTATAAGCTCTGTATACAGGACGAACGATAGGCACCAGAACTGAGGTGCAGCCCAGTATGATGCAGAGCCTTGGGGAGGTGAGTCAAAGGAGCAAAGGCATAGGAGGGGCTGCCATGTAATTATTTTGGTAAGAACTAAATAAATAAAAATGTGTGTTTGTGCATGAATATTTAAATGATGGATTTACTCTGAACATTGATAGTTAAGAGGAAATACCAACGAAACAAAAAAATTATTTTGGAAAAAGATTAAATGCACAATATATAAAGTTGCTACAATAATTACACACAGAAATCACAATAGCGTGATGCATCACGTCCCTTGTGGATTTACTACAATAATTTCTGCTGTTGCATTTTGAAGCTAAACTCTTTTTGTTATTATATATTCAGCTGGAAAACTGTTATAGGTTTATTATGGATATTTGCTTTGCATGAATTTGAAACAAATCTGAAGCCATTTTAACATTTTACACCTTGAAGTAAGTGTTAAACTTAAGTACTGTACCTTAAATGTTTTGCCGAGGTCTTCTCTCATTAATTGTTAGAAGTTTTGGTTATCCTGTGGCTTTCACACTATCTTCTGGTATTCAAGTCCTGGGATGATTTTGATCACTCTGCATTAGTTTTTCCAACATTAGGCAAGAGCATAAAAGGGAATTTTCAAAATGAAATTCCAATGGCACTTGCACTAAAATGATGTTAGATCTTAAAAATGTACCTGCCAAATTTTAAGGACAGATGTTTAGCAAATAAATAATCTCAATTTGGTCGAAGGTCATGATTACAGATTATGGTCAAGATGATCTTTAATAACACACAATAGAAATTTTACAAGCAAATGTATAAAGATAAAGAATTAAAAAAATGCAAGGTATGAACTCATTTGAGCATGTCAATGTTTTTAGCAATAATGCCTGGTTTCTGCATTGAACAAGAGACTAAGCAATTTAAGTGACTGCTCTCATGACCACTTTTTATGTGAATAATTGTTAAATAAGGCTCTTGCAGAGCAAGACACTACAGTCAATTGTCAAAGTATCTCATACAATGTAAGAGATATGGAAAAACTCCTTTAGCAATACTCAAACCACCCCACTCCGTAGTCTTAACACATTTAGAGACCACATTTCCCAATTTATTGCTATTTATTATTTTGCATTTAATTTCAAACTATTCTTGCTAATTGTTTTGGCTTATCAAACATTTATAAATTTTGTTGGGAAGATTTCTCAATGACTAATGTAACAGATTCCGTATTTATTGAAATTGTCAAGCAATATAACAGATATATTATTAAAATCTGTTTATCAAAGATAAACTATTAAGATTGTTCTTGAACATTGTAAGTACATACCTGTACAGTACTGTATATAAAATAAATATATATATATATATATATATATATATATATATATATATATATATATATATATATTATATTATATTATATTATATATATATATATATATATATATATATATATATATATATATATATATATATATATATATATATATATATATATATATATATATATATATATATATATATATATATATATATATATATATGTCGTACCTAGTAGCCAGAACGCACTTTTCAGCCTACTATGCAAGGCCCGATTTGCCTAATAAGCCAAGTTTTCCTGAATTAATATATTTTTTCTATTTTTTTTTCTTTTGAAATGATAAAGCTACAAATTTCCTTATGTATGAAGTAAATTTTTTTTATTGGTGTTAAAATTAACGTCGATATATGACCGAACCTAACCAACCCTACCTAACCTAACCTAACCTATCTTTATAGGTTAGGTTAGGTAAGGTAGCCGAAAAAGTTAGGTTAGGTTAGGTTAGGTAGGTTAGGTAATCGAAAAAACATTAATTCATGAAAACTTGGCTTATTAGGCAAATCGGGCCTTGCATAGTAGGCTGAGAAGTGCGTTCTGGCTACTAGGTACGACATACATACATACATACATACATACATACATACATATATATATATATATATATATATATATATATATATATATATATATATATATATATATATATATATATATATATATATATATATATATGCTGAAAATAACCAAGAATGTATGATACATATTTTGATCTCCATAAAAAGAAAAAATTAAACAAGGTTCCAGTCAACACATAAGGAAACAAAATTCTTCACTGGATATAACTTGTAACAATAACATTAGTGGACAATTCCACCTTAAATGTGGTCAAATAAATGCAATCAAACAAAACTGTTTATGCATGCATAAATGTACTCCTTATACAAGCTCTTTGGGGGAAACCCCATGAGGCTCCCTGACATTGTTACACTAATTCAGTACCATGCTACTAGGTGCCATCAGTCACAGTTCTTATTGGCCTACCACAAGCCAGAACATGGCCCCCCTCAGAGAGGCGCAGGGAGTGGTGGCACTATGAAAACTTTACGTGTAAAGTTATTCATGTCTGTCACCACCAAGAAAAGCACCCACAAAGTCAGCAAAACAAGACAGGCCACTGCATGGTTAGAAAGATCATAGCCTCAAAACTGCCAAAAACACTCCCCCAACAACGTACACAAACTATCTTATAATTTGTGAAACTAGCAAGTGCTAGAACACACCATCGTTTGGGGGAAAGGAGGGAGGCAGGCCGGGCCAGCTGACTGCCTCCACTGTCAGTTCTTATTCTGACATGTGCCTGGTTGCCTGTTATAGTCTCTCTGGCTTCGGTCTCCCATTTTATCCAAGTGGTGTTTGCCTTTAAGACCAGGGTTGCAACATTTGCACTGAATTTGGCGTTTACAAAACATGGATTTGCCCCGCTTGGTGTTTAGGGACTCAGATTTGGAGGTGTTGGTCAATTTGACTGATTCCCTCCTCTTCCTTTCCTGGTGGACTGGTTCTTCCCTTCTCCCCCCTATGCTTCCGGCTCCGAAGCATCTATCTTGAGGTTATCTCAAGATGATTTCGGGGCTTAGCGTCCCCGCAGCTTAGTCCTCAACCAGGCCTCCTTTTTGTTAACCCCCCCAAAAGCAAGAAGCAGCCCATAGCAGCTGTCTTAACTCCCAGTACCTATTTACTATCAGGTAACAGGAGCATCAGGGTGAAAGAAACTGCCCATTCCCCAATCTGCCGGGGATCGAACCCAGAACCTCAGGACTACGAATCCAAAGCACTGTCCACTCAGCTGTCAGGCCCCCAAGCATAGATTTTCTTGGTATTGTACTTCGCTGTTCCAATCTTCTCGTCCGCTCTTCGTGTCTGGTGTTTTTACATGTGTGGATCACCCTCTCTGTGGTAATCAGGTAGCTTGTGAATGGTGTCCCACCTGCGGTCCTTCCAACAACAGTTTGTCATCGCTTAGCATTTCTTCCTCCATTTTGTCTCTTTGTCGTTGCTTCTCGGTTTCTGTCTGGCTGTTCTGTCCTTTCTTGGCTTTTCCTTGCTCAGTGTCTTCTGCCACATGCAGTCACCTTATTTCTTCTTGCGGCATTGACAGAGCCTCTCCAGTTTGCATTCGGGGTCATTTCTCTTCTGCCCCATTTTGTATGCTTTCTTGCACATTGTTTCACCTCCGGCCTGCTCCTTGATTGGGTTCTTTCTTTTCAATCGTCCACTCCATTTCCAGTGGCCCCTTCGTTCCTAGCTTGTTTCAGCAAGTGTTCTTTTATTTTCTCTGGGTGCTGATTGCTTGGTGCTTCTTGGGCACCTTTGGTGCCAGGGCTTTAGTTCTCTTCGTGCCATGTGGATGCCTTGAGGGTTGCACAGGGTCCCAGCAGCTGGGCATCCTGTGGGTGTTCTTGGTCTTCTTTGGCTTTGTATCGTAGTTCACGGCTGTTGGTCTCCTTCTGTCTTGTTATCTGCAGTGTTTTTCCTCCGTAGTGTGTGCCCTTTTTTCTTTCTGCATGGGTAGATAGCTTCAGGTAGCTTCAAGTGGCTAAACCCCCCTCCCCAGAAAACCAGCAATGAATGTACTGTAATGAAATGCCAATTTCTGGGTGAATCCCAGAGACTCCCTGACACCCTCCTACCCCACAGCAACAGGGTGTTTCCATCACCATAAGAACTGACAGACGAGGTAGTCGGCTGACCCAGCCTGCCTCCCTTCCTCATCCCAAATGACAGGAGGTAGGTGGTGCGTTTTAGAGCGTGCGAGTGTCACAAATTTTTTACAGTATGTGTACATTGTTGAGGGGGGTTCTTCTTTTCGCAACACTGAGGCTGCAGTCATTTCTAACCATGCAGTGGTCTGTTTTATTTCGATGATTTTTTGGGTGCTTTCCCTGGTGGTGGCAGACATAAATAACTTTAAATGTAAGGCTTTCATAGTGCCACCACTTTCTGCCCCTATCCGAGGGGGGGTCAGGACCTGGCTCGTGTCTCTGGAAAGCCAATAAGAATGCCACGACTGATAGAAGTACGGCACTGAACCAGTGTAATAGCTTCAGGGAACTTCCTGGGCTCACCCAGAAATTGGCATTTTATTACATTTAACGCTGGTTTAATTTTTTTTTTACTTCCAATTAACGTACCAGTACTGTATATCCAATAACTTTACATACACTATAATTTTATACTGTGTAGCAAAACACAAATATTTTCTTATTTTATGGTACAAAAATAGATAACCTTGTTTGGTGTTAATAGAATGGATCTATTCTAGAACATATACATAAATCATCTCGCCTACATTTTATTTGCATACCCTACGAGTTATAATGCATCAAGTACAGTACAGTGTTGATAACAGGAAATAAATATCAAGGGTAAAAATAACAAGAATATGCTATTGTAATATATACACTACTCTATTATATTTTGCAACAGTCCCAATTTTAATAGCAAATACCACTTTCCAAAATATATTGATTATGGTACTGCATCTCAACATTATTGTTTCCCTTACATAAATTCATGTGCATATACAGTACTGAACTTTACATTCTTGTAGTCAACAAAATGATTTACAGTGGCAGCCCATGTGGCATACTTAATGCACATACAGTATTTTATTGATCACCTTTTGATACAAGTTGATCACACAAAGTTAATTTCTATTGGATCACTTTAGTGAAATCAATATTTATCAAGTATGCCAACAATGTACTCAATACACATGCTTTACTACAGAATAAAGCCATAACTTTAAAACCCCAAATTCCCTTAATTTTATGATTTACTGCATTTGAATATATGATTTAACTATTATTATACTGTAATTTTCATCTGGCCTAGTACTTTACCTGCTAATAATCAGAGAACAGTGCACACTACAAGAGTTCTTGGTCGTCATTTATGGGACTGAAGGATGATGAAAAACTCTTTTGCTTAGATAATTGTGGAATTTTAATTCTAATAGGCTTCTTGGGTATTTGAATTCTAATAGGGTTCTTGGGTAATAATGCTGGTTTTTTATTAGGCATATTTTCTGTATTTGCTATTTTATCTAACTCGCCTGATAACCCAGAATCAGTATGACACTCGCTCAATTTTGTATCAGGCTCTTTAGGTAAAAGATAGTCTGGACATTTAAAATCTACATTAATATAATCTTCTAGTGAAACAGGATTTTTATCTTTACTTGGCGGTGAGAATGATGAGAGACAATCCTTTATTATACTTTGACTTGACTTTGAATCCGATTCATTAGAAGTACAATCGGAAATTGAAGCAATTTTTAAGGCTGCATGATTATGTGGTTTTGCTGACAATTGTCTTGAAGTTGGTATAGCCAAGCATATTGTTGGAGATAATTGTTCCAGTTCCAAGGGCTGGTCCTTCTTTACTGATGGCTCATTTCCAAGTTCAATTGGTGGAGGTTTTTCTCCGATTGCAGCATCTTTCGACAATTCTGGAAATGTGTTCTTTCCACTACTAGATGGTGGGGGTGTTAGTAGCAACATTGGCTTTTGAGTTTGTGCTTCAGAGTTTTTGACACTGTCTGGATTTAAAGATGGCAAAAATCTTTGAAGTGATACAGGGACAACTAGACTTTGCTGCTGATGCTCTGACTGGTATAACTGTGATGGCTCTATACAAGTTACACTTGACTTACCTTTATTGAGAGTAAAATCACCACAAGTATCATTCTCTGGCAAAAGTAGTTTTTCAGATTTTGACCCACTGTATTCACCCTTTTCAAGAATATTTTTTGCATGCAAATAAATACTCACTAGTTTTTCTTTTGGAACATCTGGATATCCATGATCAATAAGAGCATTCTTTATGAGGGTGAGAGACTTGCTCACATCTTGGCCTATGGTGAGCTCTGCTATTCTAGACATATCTAACCCCATACATGGAGAACTACTTTTTACATTAAGCAACATGCGGCTGAAACGATCATAAATCTCCTGAAAGATAACCTTTTGGGTAGAACTGAGATTAGCATCTGCTAATATTTGTTCAAGCTTGTTGCCCAACTTTCTAAACAAGGAAACATTCTCTCTCACCTCAAGAATTTGATTTAAGTCTAATTTATTCTCTTTCAGGGTAACTGCTTTTAGATAAAGTGTAGTAAGAGGTCTCTCTAATTCACCAAATCTTTCTTTCATATAATTTAACAGTTTCAGTACACCAAGAATCTGGACAGATACAGGTTCCTGGATACTCTGACCATATAAATTTTTAGAACAAGATGTTTGGTTTTCTAGGCCACATGTGACAGAAGAATTACCTTCTTTCGTAGTCTCTCTACTGTCTTCACTTCTTCGAAATCTTTTAAGATTCAACTCCAAAGTTAAATCTCCAATATCTTCTTCAAATTCTTGAACAGGTTTCAAATCTTCACACTTCCTCTCATTGTCTGCCACTGATGTATTTTTAGCTTTTGAATATCTTGATATTTTCTTTTTAAAGTTTTTACGTGATGTATCTTCTGTAATATGATTAGCTGAATCATAGTCATCATCTGATGATGGTGGCGGTGAAGATGATGATGATGATGTATATGACGACAAATCTGTAGATGATTCAGAACTGGTTTGACTATTCTTTTGGAATAAAATTTGTAAGCACTTATTCTTCTTAATTTCCCAACTTTCTTTGAGAAGTTCATTCATCCGATATGGCCAGTACCTTTTCCACTCAAAATGATAGTCAAAAGCACATGGATCTCCTCCTAAATCAAGGATATCATTAACTTTCAGTTGAGAAAATATTCTATATTCTTTGCTATAGTCTGGATGGGCATCTGGTTGTCGGAGATACAGTATACACTCTCGGTAATGAGCTTCATGTAGAGAGAGAAGAGCACGACGAACAGCTCGATCCTTTACCTTCTTGCACTGCTCTCTAATCTCCTTATTGCTGCAGTTGTAAATAGCTGTGGGATCACTCCCCTGTTCAATTTTTCTTGCATGACCACTTCTGAAAAAATATACATATTAAAAAAACAACCATAGAACAAATAGTTACAAAAACCAGCATCGAATGTAATGAAATGCTCCAATTTCTGGTGAGCTCTGGTGGCTCCCTGAAATTCACACAGTGCCAAACTACTAAATGCCACCAGACAAGTTCTTTTAGGCCTACTAAGGACCACAAGCCAGAACTTGGTCGCCTCTAAAGAGGTGCAGAGAGCAGTGGCACTATAATGAAATTGTCAGTGACTTTAAATCACATCCGCCACCACCCGGGACGCACCCATAAAGTCAGCAAAACAAAGCATACTACTGCTTGTTATACAAAAAAATACTTATACCTCAATTGTTACAAGAACTCCCCCTAACAATGTAAACAAACAATTGAAAATTCATGAAACTAGCATGAGCTTGTTTGCCCCCTCACTTCCCGCTCCTTTCATTTAAGAAGAAGAGGGAGGCAGACTGGGTCATCCTCCGGTAAAAACCACCCTGACTTCCTTGGAAAGGGAGTGTTAGGGAGCCACCGGGACTCGCCCAAAAATTTGGCGTTACATTTCATTCAACACTGGTTTTCTGGGGGAAGCTCCTTGTGACTCCCTGAAGCTACCTACCCATGGAGAAGGAAAACAAGAGGACTAACCAGCGAACAGGGAGCACCACAGGTATCACAATGAAGAAGAAACTACGGGCCACTACACACACGACCCAAGGCCAATGAGGAGAAGGAACACTGACAAGATACCTTGTTGCCAGGACCCTGTTCTACTGTCAAAACCTCCACACCTGAATATTGGCACAAGACACATTGGCAAAAACAACCAAGAGAGTGGCAAACTTCCGAGCATCATGGGCATGAGGGTAGACTACAGGCTGGCTACACTTAAGAACACTGCAGATGACCCGAGAAACATGAGACCTGGAACGAGACCAGGGAAATTGGATCAACCCACAACAAGTTCACCAAAGCAGGAGTGGTGACACAAAGGTAGTAGCACAAATGTAGCACAATGACAAAGAGTGCTGGGAAGATGGGACACCACAAGCATAGCTCTCATCCTGTAACTACACTTAGATAATTACACTTAGGTAATTACAGAGTTGATATTAGACAAAGCACATGATGCACTCCCTGGCCAAACTAACCAAGCATCTACCACCATAGAACCCCCTCTGGAAGCCAAGCAACACATTCTTCGCCAGAAATGGAGGAGCCGGTTGTATAGAAGCAAAACAACCCTCAGGGTCAAAATAACAAAAACCCCAGTGCTGAAGGAGAGCATTTAGCTCACCCACAAGACAACCGGAAGTGAGCACTGAACCTTATGAAAACAATCACAAACCGAAGAGGACACAATAAAACAAGCAGGAGAACGGGAGAAAAGGACATGTTCCAAAAACTAGGCATGCTTAGGTGAGCAGGGTGGAGGTGAAACAGTGCCCGAGAAAGCTTACAAAATCTGGCTAAGGAAATGTTGACCCTGAACGCAAGCTAAAGCGGCTTCGTCAGTGTCACAATACGAGGTGACAGTATTTGGCATAAGATGCTGATCCAGAAAAAGCCAGGAAAGACAGAACAACTTAAACGGACACCAAAGAGGAACATCGAAGGGAAAGGAAATTGTGAAAAGCATGCCAGGAGACTTCATACTGTCGTCGAGAGGAGGACCTCAGGTGGGACAACAAACCATCTATCTGATCACTATAGACATAACAATAAACACACATCGAAAACTCCAGACGCGAAAATCGGAGGAAAAGGCAGAACCAGCATGGTATGCCACCGGACTGATCTTCTGAAAGAGGAAGAGTCACAAGGAAATGGCCGGGTTCAGACACTGAACAAGCAGAGCCTGAAATGAAGGCTGAGCTGGCCACCAGGGAGCCAGACGGATCACCCTCCCCCTATATGACTCCAATTTTGCCAGGACCTGGAGCAAGAGCTGGATCATGGAAAAAGGTACAGGAATCCCCACCTCGATCAGTCCACCCGAAAGGCATCCACCACGAGAACTTGGGCTAAGGGTGGATGCCCTTAGTCCAAAAAATTTTTCATTAATAACATTGTATTTCTTCCTCATAAAATAGCATGGATTGGTTGATTTAGTGGTTATGCTCAATTGCAGCAGCATTAGCTACTACTGTATCTAGAAATTAAGAAACAAATTAGATATGAAGTTGCAAAAATAATAAATATTGATAAAATTATGCCGTGTGTATTATACTGAGCAATACTTAAAAACAAGGATAGGAGGGAAATGCATTGCTGTTGGAGAAAGTTCATCCAAGTAGTCTCAATAAATACAGTCTGTACTCAATAAAAAGTCAAAATAAAACATGGTTTATGCTTTAAATGAAGTAAAACTTAACAGTGGCTTTAGACATGAGATACAATTTTATTATCTTTATTTTTTAATTACACAATCTGTTTTCATTACCAATTCTTGATACTTTAAACTGGATTGTACTACTTACCTACTACTTGCAGAATGAGACTTGGAATATGATGCGTCATGTCTGCTTCTGCTTGCCTCCTCAGAATCATACTGCCTACTTGATTTTCTCAACTTGTGATTGTGTCCTGAATGTCGCAATCTGTAAATGTTACAGAATTTAAGTGAAGTTTCTCAGCAGAAATGTTAATGCTTAAAATCAATACTATAAACTGAATTTCAGCTATGGTGTGACTGATACACCAGAATACAGTATAATATCTAGTGCAAGTCTTGAATAAATACAAGATACTTAAGCAAGTTCAAAAGTATATGCCACTATATGTGAATTAAAAATTTGATAAATAAATTCTCAGGTTTCATTAAAGAATGTAAACAGTGTAAAAAAAAACTATATTGATTTAGTGGTTATGTGTCAAGTGTGTTAAGTATACAGGTACCGTGTATACTTTTATATTCTAGTACACCAACACACCAACCAACCTAATTCACATGATTACATTTTATGAAATAAGACCAAGTTAAGATGCATAAAATCTGGATACTGTATCTACATGTTAACGTTCCAAAAGCCAAGGAAATGCTGTGTCCATAACTCATCCACCTTGTTGCTTGCCAAAGTCTTAGCCTTATCTAAATGTGATTTGTCTCGTCTTATACCTCATATAATCAACAGGTCCAGATTTGAGAATTATGGGCCTGGTGCCAAAAACGTTTGTGGGCTCTCAACTCTTACCTCTCATAACAGGGTATGTTATGGAGCTGTTATTAGGCAGGAGAATGAGACCTTTTGTAGTAAATAAATTATATACTGTACACCTTTCATATGCAATCATTTTAAATCATGTATCACATTCTTCATATACATGTACTGTATAGATTCTCAATGGGCATGCATGCTCAAAGATACACATATACCTAACTACTTGTCATGATGTCAGTATAAATTCCTCTTCTGGCCATGAGAACTATCCCTTAATCCATTGCATTCTCAACTAATTTACTCTGGATAGTTGTAGCCATTCTATCTTTTCATCATTATCAAAACAAATTAGTATACTGTAGTAAAATGTCATGAAAATATATTATCAGTAAGGACTAACTCCTCATATACTGTACTGTACATATAATGTAATGTGTACAAACACTAAATAACCCCAAAAATTTATTGATAAAATTTAATATACTGTATGTACAGTTAATCTAACTTTTAATTTACACTCCCCACCATTCCTCCTCCCATCAGAATTTTATGATGAACAATATTTTGTATTTACATTTTTAGCAGCCCTGGAATGCATAGCCATTAATACAGTAACACCTTTAATTTAAGAAACTGTGTTCAAGTATAGTAATGTAATCATCTACTGGTCTTGAGAACCTCCCCTTAAAAAATCTATTTTCACTTTCTATGAAGTATCCCTCATCAACTCTGTACATTATTCTTATTGAAAAGAAAATGTGGAAGATTAAATGGAAAATGCATTGGATTATGGGCAGCAGGCTGCTAAGATGATGATGATTCAGAATGGCTATGACGAGCAAGTGTAACCAATGGAATGAACCATTAATAGGGAAAGAGTACAATACTCCTTTTTACTCTCCCGTGTTAGTGTTTCTAGGATAAACAAGATCAACCAGTCGACTCAAAATCATTTATTTACCAATTCAAACTGAACTGCAAGTAACATCCAAAGTCTGGCATGATTTACAACCTCTCCACTCATTTGAACAGTGCTGCTATAACTCAAGCAACCACTTCAACACTGTAAACAGTTTTAATTAGTATCATTACACCTTTTTCCTGTTTTTTTTTTCTCTATACCTTAGTCTGTATTGTATATTTTGGAAGCAAAATTCAAAAATTGAATGAAATCAAAAGCCCTTGTCTGGGATGCCTCAGTAGCTTTATGATGTTTTGGTTCTGGTACTACAGACAAGTCCACAAAATTGCCAAAGGACATGTGCCAGCCTACCAAGCACCAGAATAAGAAATTGACAAGCTTAAAAAAAAAAAAGAGGGGGAGCATGGGGACACCAAGTTCAATCTAGAAACCAAGTAAAACTGCCCAGAAAGTATAGGTGAAGCAAAACAAAGGGAAATGGTAATTTCCAATAGTCAATAACCCATATGGTAGAACTGTATCAATGCCCACCAACAGATGGCACCTCAGGTTACCCAAAGAAGTCAACCTGCCTGCTTGCCTTATTCTCATGCCATCTCTAAAACGACCCGATCCCCACGGGAAAGAGAAACAGGAATGGGGAACTACTGAGGCCATAAAGAAAAGGTAATTTTATTTCATTCAAGCCTAATTTCTGGTGCATAATACCAGTGATGCATCAGAGAAAACTATCTTTGGGCTAAAAAACCAGCATTGAATGTAATGAAACGCCATTTTCTGGGCGAGACCCTTCGGCTCCACGGAGCTATCCAGACTGATATGGATATTATTTGACTTTGTCATCAGTCAGTGTGAATGGATTTCATAGGCCTACCAGGGACCACGAGCCAGAACCTGGCCCCCCTCAGAGAGGCACGAGTCCCCCTACGAGAGGCACGAGCCCCCCTCAGAGAGGCATGAGAAGCAATGGCCTATAGAAATGTACATATGATTTGGAGCATTCTATGTCTGTCATCGACCGGGCCAGGCACCCAGACAGGTAAGCGTTCTAAAACAAACCCCTATTCTGGTTTCATTCAAAACCCAAATGAAAACAAGCAAACGAGCATGATGTCACACATACTGTGTCGCTTGTCTGCGCAGCTCCCCCCACCCTAGGAGGGGAAAGGGTGAGCCCCAGACCCCTCACGCCGGCTATCCACACCCCAGTTCGAGGCTGGATGTCAAAACATGCAAAAAAATCGGGGGAAGGAGGAGGGGGGGGGGGGGGTTGCCGGGGAGCCTCCGGGTCTCACCCAGAAAATGGCGTTTCATTACATTCAACACTTGTTTTCTGGGGGGAGCCACTTCGGCTCCCTGGAGCTACAAACCAAAAGACGAAAAAAAGAGGGACTTTCTCCAGGAGGCAGTTGGCACTTGCTACTCAAAGCGAAGTCGAGACAACTGGCTGCAACCGCCGACCAAAGCAAAACAGGCCTGACTAAGCCCAGGAACATTTATCAGGTAGCGTGCAGCCAGGACCCTGTTCAACCGCCAAAAACCCCGTGCTCAAACATCAGCCCAAGACATGTTACTGAAGACGGCAGCAAGCGCAGCAAACTTATGAATATCATGGGCACAAGGATAGAAAACAGGCTACCTAGACCGAATAACCCTGCAGGCGACCTGAGAGACTCGAACCCTGGAACAGGGAAGAAGGGAAATGGGGTCAACCCAAAGCGCGTCCCCGGACACAGAAATTGTGGTGCACAAACGACGGCGGAGAGAGCAACTGGACACAACACATGATGCACCCTTGGCCAAACCAACCAAGTATCAACAACCCAAGGAACCCTCCAGAAAGCAGCAGACTCATTCTTTGCCAGAAAAGAAGGAGACGGCTGCAAATGAACAAAATTATCACCAGAACCAAAAGAGCAGAAACCCCTGAGCTGGAGGAGAGCATGAAGCTCCCCAAGCTGACCTTCCAAAGGCCAATGCCAACAGGAAGAAAGCCTTAGAGAAACAGTCCGGAACCGAAGGGGCCGCTACAAACCAAGAAGAAGAGAGATAAGAAAACTGTCCAAAGACCAGGACGGTTCAGGTAGCGCATGAGCAGGCCAGGGGTGAAACAACACCCAGGACAGCTTGTGAAACGATGCAGAAGTAATATCAATACCAAAAGCTAGCTGCAGTGGCTCTGCCAACGCCGTATGATACGAGGCAACAGTATTTGGTACAAAGTGATGGTCCTGAAACAACCACGAGAGAAATGACAAAACAACCTTAACAGAAAGTGAAGTACAGGATACCAATGAAGAGACAAAATGAGTCAGAAGGACCGGCAGGAAATTTCATACTGCCGCCGAGATATAAGCCCGCAGGTGGGACACCATCAAAGAAACCACCTGAGCACCATACAGATGGTTATAGACGCAAGTAAAAAAGACCAAACGCAAAGACTCAAGGAGAAGATCGAACCAGTCTTGGAACGGACGGGAGCGATCTGCAGAATCCGGGTCTCGCAGGAGGTACGCAGCAAGAGCATCCCGAACCTCTGTAGGGAAGATAAGAGGGGCAGAACACCTCCGGAAGGATTGGGATGAGGAACCCAAGGGAGCCCGAAATTGAACCTGGGGAGGAGCCGACCCCAAATAACACTCAGACAGGAAAGGGGTAAAGAACCCCCCCCCCTACAACAACAAGCCCTGTGAACAGGGCACTAATATCCAAGTGGAATCAAAGGAGGCCCAAGGCCCCCAGGTCGACTCCTCCCCAGCCCCGGGATCCCCCAAGTCGGGACCCAGGGGCAGAGCAGTCTTCCATACCCTCTACCCTGTGAAGAAAAGGCAGAGACCAGGAGAAAGACTGAAAATAAGGAGCCCCACTGGTGGGACCCAGAAGCCTCAGTAGGAGGAACTGGTTTGAATGCCTCCATCCCCAACCCGAATGGGGCAGCCCCTGAAGCTACCCGAGTATTATTGCCAACTAAACCCTACCCCAACTCCAAAACCCTCAGATGTTTGGGAGCCAGAAACAGGGGAGGGGGGATAGGAGCAGGGTGGACAACAGAGGAAGGACCAGGGAGCGCGAACTGAACCAAAGTCGAAGCGACTAATGCCCCCCAGACTTGGGTCCCTATAACCAAAGTGGACTCCGGGTCAAAGTTGTTGACGACCCAACAAGCAGCATGATGGAGGCAAAAAAGGTGGCTGTCAGCCTGAGACAAGGGCACACAGCAACCTTTGAACCTGCACGAGGTGGGCTGGAACTTGGAAGACACATCCATTAGACCACAGAGCCCAGACAGGATTTTCCAGGGCCCGTAGGCTGACTGCTACGGGAAGCCCGGACAAGGTGTTGCTAACCGATTAAGACCCAAAGCTAACAAGGGGAAAGATTAAAACAACGAAACCTCTGTGACACGTACAATCACGGGAGCCTAACAGAGGGGGGCCACCAAAATATTAGAAGTGGAACTATAGCCACACCAGGCAAGAAAACAAAAACAAAAGAAAAACCTGACAAAAGTACAAATTTCCCCCAGAGGAAACAGGAACTGGCCACCACATAGGTAGGCAGGCTGCACAACACTTTGATGCCCCAACCAGCATGATACCACTCCCTACCAAAGGCCTAACAAGGGCCATGAAACCCCAATTGGCCCCAAGGGCGGGGTAAATGCCAAGCAGCGAAAACCCCTATGGAAATGGTTTCCCGAATGCACCAGGAAAGGGAACCCTAACACACAAGGGCACCTAGGGAAGGAAGCCCCTAAGCACATGCAGCCCCGGCACTGATGAGGACACCTGGCCACCACACACAAGACTGCAGAGGTCACCACAAAGGCAAAACACTGCCTATGGAAATTGAGGTCAGAGAAGACGTCTGCCCTGAACCACATTAGCTAATGAATGGGAGTGTTGGGTAACTGGCACAGGGAGGGGAGGGCTGCGCGGACGAGAGGTGTGGCAATGGAGTATAGTTTGCTTGTTTCCTTGGGATTGGAGGGCGTTTTGCCTCTCTTTTTTCGTTTTTTCTTTGTATTTTTCTTCCCATGTGGTGTTTGTTTTTTCATACCTACCTTTCTGGGTGCCTAACTCCCAGTCAATGGCAGATAAGGAAAACCCCAACCACAGGGGGGGGTTTCCAGGGCCATTGCTCCCTGAAACCTTTCTGAGAGGGCCAGGTTCTGGCTCGTGGTCCCCGGTAGGTCAAACTCGATAGACTAATGCCCTGGTTTAATGTATCACACATTAGCCCATAGCTCCAGGGAGCCAAAGAGGCTCCCCACAGAAAAATATATATTATAAATTAATCAGAGAAACCATAAACATACACCCAACTACAGTATCCTATTCCACGCGTTAGCAAGTTGCATATCTAATGCGGACACACTCATTAACAGTTTAGAATTCCAATGATGCTAAAATGTCTTCCATACTTTGTCAGACATTCTTATTTCATTAAAATATGCCTTCCCTCTTGGAATTCCAAAAATATCACTTTTTTTTTGGTTTAGAAGCATTTTAGAAGTTTGATTTTGGTAGCATTTATCAGGGGGACTTACTAAAGTATCAAGAGACCATCCACAGATCACCTAAGCCAACCACCTATCACTCAAGACAATAACTGTTTTACTTGTGAGTACTGTATTGCGGAAAAACGTTTCACTTAAATGTAAAAAAAATAATTCATTACATCAATAGGCCTAGAATTGGTGGATGTGACCAAAGTCACATTTCCACATGATCCAACAATGATCAAGAAGGGAAATACTATGTGCATGTTGGTGGCAATAATTATTAGTTTAAATAATTTCATCAAGTACATCAACCAATAAATTTCTTTCAGTTATTATTTCATCATACACTGAACGTCATCATTAAATATCTATCTTTGAAAACACAGGCTATCAATTTCAACACTAAAAAAAAATATTACTACTGTATATCAGAAATTGCACCAAAATCAACAAATTGTGTGATTTTCTATTATCATTCAATCATAAGCAAATTATGATTATCAACCATAATCATCTAGAATCAAGAGTAAAACAATTATCAAGATAACAGAGTGCTAGTGAAATTATAATTGTTGTAAAAATTACGAATTGAATAAATCAAATAGTTAACCAGGCCTGCACCAGCAGTGCACTGCCTGCCGTGACGCCCCACTGTCATTTCACCCATGACGTTTTACTAATGGAAGACATGACACACTTGCCATTTTGTTCCCGCCGAAATTAACAAAAACACAATACAAGAAGATGCAGTACAGCTATTGTTGCCAAGGGTTTGTGTGACATTGCTGGACTGGTGTGAAGTGACAATTTTGCTACATCCCAACACCAATTTGGTAGCTATCGGAACTATATCACCACCTCACTGCAATCTCAATCTTATGTCTTGCTTCTATCAAACTTATTTATTTATTTAATAGAAGGTACACTGGGTTGTGAAAGTATACACATTAGAGGGTGAGTGTTACATTCTTGCAAAACCACTAACACGCATAGCATTTCGGGCAGAACTTGCAATACCGTACAGGCACTACCTGTCCTATAAAGTGGACAAGTCTTACAAATTTAAGTGTGATGAGGCTGGAAATAACTTCATTGAAATTTCCTTCATGAGACTGAGTGCCCTGACCTACAGCTGACATTACTACAAAGATCAAGTAAGTCATGACATTGTTATATATATATCAGGTAGTACTGTAGATGGATCCATAAATTCCTCTTTATATAACATGATAGAACTTGTGTCACTCATAATGTATAACATCAAAATAATTTATGATGAGCAATGCTGTACACCTTTAATAATCTGTGCACTTTTTGTTGACTGAAGTGGCATGTTCTTGATAATTAAATAAAAATTTACACACACATATGGATATATCTTGTAATGATTAAATTTAATCAGTAGAGTGACTTATGAAATCTTATTGTAAGAAACATCCAGTTACTAGCAACAGGGGATTTTCCAGCAATTGATCACCTTTAGAGTTAAGAACCCACATTTTTGGTCCATCGACCCCAGAGATGTCAATCTTTCTGTAACTCGATCGAGTTAAATACAGAATATAAATCCTCTTTAGTCCTTTCTAAACTGGACAGAACCAGGCCCCACTTCAAAGTATCTACATTTGTTCATTTTAGTGCTTTCTCAAAAGGTGATTATTCTCAGGTAAGTTTTCCACAAGGAGTTCCATTATGCTCTGCAAAAATTCCAGCCAGAAAAGTACAGTTTGAAAATTATGTTTGTTTTCTTTTCACAGTGATATAAACTGATTATATGCACACATTTTTTTATATTTTACGTTGAAAATTAATAAGGAATGATGGAAATATATGAGGAATGTTAAAATTCATTAACTTACACATATTCAGCAATGTCACGCATAATCTATCAATACACCAATTACTGTTCATCTGTACTCTAAACAATTCCTTTGCTAATATTTTGACATCAAATTTATATATTTAGCTCGACAAAACACTAAGAGAACGTAAAAAAGTCTGAACATTTTAGGTGTCACCGTGAGGGACCTTGAGATGCTCAGAACAGATACAGTGGCCAGGTGCTGAGAGGTTGGAACATTAAAGTGTTAATCCCTCCACCCGTCTACTGTGTACACTTCATATAACCGGAAAAGATGCTTTTGATGATAGTTGTTTTTTGAGGGTAAAACCATAAACAACAAAAGAGACTGCTCATTGATTAAAAAGATACACCTCAAGTAATATTTAAAGACAAAACAAAATTAGCCAAGAATATAAAACTTCTCTTAAGCACTATAAATACCTGTAAAAACAAAATAGTGGTTGCAAAATTTGGCACAAGTCAAGTCACATGGCCAACCATTCCCTATCCTTGAAACATACCCGTTGCAACATAAAAAAAATTGCAAACGGTACATTGATTTAACAACAACTATTAGCCAGCTCTTCCACTAGTATAGATGACCAAGGCCAACTGATTAAAGCTACAGAACTATGTTCCATTTGGAAAACATTAGTGAGAATGTTTTACCAGATACAGAACTGTAATATTATTATTTCAATTCACCCAAAATCACAAATTAAGTGTTTAAGAACAAAACTACACTTTGGTCAAGTAATAATTTATTAACACTAATATATAAAAAATATTAATAAACTCATAAAAAATGTGTACTCACCTTTTCTTTGAACTACTGTACTTCGCAAACCCATCTTCATGTGAATCGTAATCAGGAGTATATGATCGCTTATAGTCAATGCCTCTTCCTTCACTGCTACACTGTGGTAGTTCTACTCTCTCAGAATCTTGAATGTTCCAATTTTCCGAGTCTAAATAAGTGTTATTCATCTGAATTCTATTAGTCCTTTGACACAAGGAATCACTCGAGAACGAAACACACGTATTGGCGAACTTCCGTTGATCTGAAATAACCCTATCCAAATAATTTTCCCTTTCATGATCTCTGTAGTAACTATAGCTTTTTTCATCATCTTTCAGCAATACTTTCCCATAATATTTATAGGAGGAGTCACTATCCCTTTCTTCAAATCTCCCAGAAGAATTGCTCTCACTTTCATTCCACTCAAAACTTTCTCTTCTCTCATGTCTGTGACTGATGTCCTCTCTAATATTTGATCTTCCTGAGTGACTCCTCTGCCTCTTATATAATCTCTCACTTGCAGCTTCATGGCCTCTTGAATAACTGTCAGTCTCGTCATAATAGCTAGAACAACTTGGGAAATTTGAAGCATAACCATCAATTCTCCTGTGATGCTTTTGGAAATCAAAGTTATTTCTGTCACTGTCTCTAGAGTATCTCTGCTCACGTATCAATCGCACACTGTCACTGAATTTCTGTGAATGTTCTCTACCTTTTTTTAATAATTTTCTAGAGGAATTGTCACTTTCTAATTCAGTTTCTTTCGAGGAATGCGAGGTACAACGTCTTCTTTCTTGTTTGTGTATTTTCAAATTTTTTCCCAAGTCGTGTTCTTCATCTACTTTCCCAGTGTCATGACTAATTTTAGTATCATTTAAGGTTTCCAAACTTTTTGACCGACTTGTGCTTGTTTTGCTAGACTCTTTCCGTTTAATATCTGTCATTTCATTTATTGAAAACTTTCGGTTTCTTCTTGAATCCCTTTCTACACTTTCTTCACTCTTTTCTTCTTTTGATTCCTTGAGTTTTGGACTTGCCTGCCTTTTTGCTGGTTCAGTCATGTGAGAATCCAAGTGTTTTATATCTAGAGGCTTGTCATTTATACCAGAAACCTCCATTTCTGGTACATCTACTTCCACACTTATATTGCAAGCAGCCCTATCATTTTTCAACGTTTTACAGGAAGATGTCATTAAACTTTCATTTAGATCAGAAGATTCATTGCTTACTATCTCCCCCACTTCCAAGCAGCTTTTAACTTCACCACATCTAGCATCGACACATATTGTTTCAGTTGTTAAAGCCCCTCCTGTTTCAGGAATCTTGGATTTTTTTCCATTTATGATTCCATCTAGACTTTCCTTTATTTCTAAATCAACTTTTGTCACATCAACAATTTGTTTACAATCATTATCTTCAGTTAAATTAAAGCTGTGCGTTACTTCATTAAATTTGATTTCAGAAGCACCAGTTTCTTCTGCAGCATCATTCTCAACCCTGTTTAGTTCATCAGGATTAGTTTTTTTGTTGCTGCAATCTGCCACTTTGCCAGTGATTTGGGATTCTGCACTGCATGCTGCTGGTACTTCTGTAGCGAACTCTGTTTCACCACTACTCTTCACTGCTTCACTGGAAATATCTTTTTCATCAGCACACTGTTCAGTGATACATTTTATACCTTCCATAATTGATGCAATTTTAGTATTACTTTTCCAAAAATTGATAAAATAAATTTATTGAATGCAAATGGTTTAGCCTTTATCTATGTATTGTATTAAAAAGTTAATTACAGTATTATATTTTAAAAAGTTCAACTTTGTGCTTCCTATCCAACCTACACAGTCAATAGTTACAAGTTTAGGCTGAAATATCATTACTATATTGTGTAACTTAATAATGCCTAAATTTGTTCTGGGTTGCACTTTCCATCTTTCTTAATGTCTCACTTGTCACTAATTTGGATAAATTATTTCCAGTTATCCTCTGGAGAGTAACCATTCTTTTCCTAACCTGGTTTCATCCTTCATTTATATTGTGTTTTTTGTTTATTAAATTAATGTATATATTAATATAAATAATTAACACTACATGTTTTAAATAAAAATTTCTATTCAACAGCTTACCATTATTATAAAATTTATCTAAGTTTCTAGATTTAATACTACTGTCATTTCACTAAGTTGGGAAATCTATGCAGCCTATAGCCATTAACTATTTTCTTTCATTTTAAACCTGATGCATCAGCATTTTTTGTATGTTTCCTAGCTCATAATCATAATCACTGTTGCTTATTATCACAATATTATCTGAACACTAAGACACATACACTTGCATTATTACAGTTGCAAAAGCAACTCACACTGACATGCAGATATTCATTATCTTGGATACACAAAATCTACCAAAAAAAGTTCACATTGAATTCTTCAGATAATTCTGCATAGCAGAAATGTCTGCCTCATAGTTCCATTTTGAAGTTTATAATCAGCACTTCTAAATTAATCAGTATTTTCATAGATATCTGGCAATTAACTTAACAAGAAAATACAAATATACAGAATACAGTACGAGCCATGTTTATCCCCACCAGTCCCTGATCACTTAAATAATTTGTGTGTTTTTCCAAATAGTTTTCATTAATGTACTTGACATGTTAACTAAACAATACAATGGCGTAGGCGTTAATAAAAACCGATATTAACATCACTACTCGCAACCGTACCTAAAGCAGTTTTCTTTTCAACACTCATTACTAGCTATCATTTTGCTTTAAACGGATTCCAATTACAGTATTTAAGCCAAAATATTTCCCCACAGTTTCTAATATTTTGGTAGTTCAACAAGTTTTTTTTTTAACTTGACACTTATTGTGAGCTATTTTCAAGTGTTAACACATAACTAGTAATAGCACATGTTAAATCATCTTCATACATGCGGCACAGTATTCCAGCTTAAACTATGTTTCTGTATAATACAGCTCAAGTGCTTCAGCACCATTCCAGAACAAACTTGAAGTCACTGGATCTTGGACAACACTTACACTGTAAAAAGAAAAATGTGTCATGAGAAAATTTAATTCCAAATTGGCATCCTGTATGGAATTTAGGATTTAAAAACAAATACCAGTCACTTTCACAATCTCATTTAGAAATAATCAAAGCAATCTTTTTTACCTTTTACAGTCTCGTTTTTCAGTACAAGAAAGATTAAGGGTTTTCACTCATGTGAGGGACAAATCTGTATATTAAATTCTTCAGCATATATTTCAAGTACAGTACCAATTTAAAAAAACACTAAAGCTTTGAGTAATTTGATAAGCATCTTTGTGGGCAGAATCATTTGGCTGCTTCCTAATAAATGATCTGCTGTTTTTATAGGACAAGAACATGCACAGGCACACAGGGGTAACACCCCCAGCACCCGAGCCACAGGGAACTTTTCAAGCAGTTCCTGCAAGGTCATTGCAGGTGTTAGGGAGTCACTGGAGAACACTCAATCCAGAAAAGAACTGTTGATAGACACTGCTAACTACTAGTTGATCAGCATGGCCATTTACAGTGACTGCTACTAGGTGTGCTGGATCTACACACAAGCTAAATAAGCCAGGGAGGTCAGGAGAATGTAGGATCAACTACAATACCCAAGAAAAAATCCCAAAAACATAAAATGCACCAAAACAAAGAACAGTATTGTAACCACGAGAAATGCGGTCCCCTAACTATACAGACAATAGTTAACAAAAGTGAGCCACTGGTCTGTTGCTTATGCCACTAGCGGTCAGCATGTCACGCCACCCTTTTTCACACCACCCAAATGCACAACCCTCCAAAACATCATGGAAGATGGGAAGTGGTCCCAGATACTGGGACTACTGAACCCCTGCCCCAACCAGGAGGTTGTGGGCCTCTGGCACCGAAGATGAAACAGAGCCACACTGCACAAAAGCCCAGCTCAATACTTGATCCACACAGCAGGTCCCACACAGGCACCCAGGAAAACCTTGACTTCTAAAAACAGGAGAGGAAAAAGGGTGTGGCAAATGACAGAGCTAAAGTTCATGCAGATTCCTGAACCAGTGACAGCACTGCCTGCTGACAAGTTACCAGTTCCCAGAGGAGAGACGTTAGCACTTTAGACACCAGCGCCACTGCCTCAGCCATAGGACCCAAGGCAGCAACTTTGAAGTCAGATGCCAGGGCATCCAAGTCTCCACAGAGTTGACCAGCAAAAAAAAAAAGAAAAATAGTCAACAAGTCACATAGAATATGTGACTTGCACATATTTCTAGTGTTACTGTGCCTATCCTCTCAAGACACTCATTTAAGTTTGCATTATCTACTTGTCTTTCCCAGCATATTTCTGTAAGGGCTTGGTTTGTGTGTTTCCAGTTAATCTGTTATTGAAACTGAATTTGCTGAATTACCATCTTCTTCGATTTGAGACTGGCTGCACAGGTCTATTGCCCACGCATGTCTGAACTTCAATTAGGTTGTGATCTAAGTATCATGTATTTGTAATCATTATGTCCCTAATCAGTTGATCATTGTTTGTAAAAATAAAATCCAAGGTGTTTTCTTTCCTAGTTGTGTTTTCTATTTGCTAGTTTAAGGCAAATCTGTCACACATTTGCAAGAGGTTACTGTGTGACTGTTCACTTAACACTTTCACACTTTGGGCGAGCGATCACCAGACCACCCCTAGGTGGGTCGGCCATTCCACAGGAGCGTGCGGTTTTCAATTTTGGTTTTCACTCTTTTCAATTTTGTCACGTCAATTCTCGTCCTAGGTTTTTCCATTTTGATATCGATGTATTCACAATAGAATTCCCTACAGGAATATATACATATAAAAGTTCACAAACAAAGCGTATCACCTGCGCCAAACCGAGAAATTGGCAGCGCATTACCCATTAGCGCCCAACAGCAAAAAATGTGTATACTCTTTTCACTTTGGTCACCAGAATTCTCGCCCTAGATCTCATTTTGGTTTCAATGTGTTCACAGTAAAATTCCCTACAGGAGTATATGCATACAAAGTCCAAAAGCCCGGCGTACTACCAGCACTAAACCGAGAAATTGGCCGCGAGTTACCTGTGAGCGCACAAAAGCAATAAAATGTGTATACTCTACTCTTCTTCACTTTGGTCACCTCAATTCTCGTCCTAGGTCTTTCATTTTGGTATAAATGTGTTCGCAATAAAATTCCCTACAGGTGTATATGCATATTAAGTAATGTCCAAAACAGCAGCGTGCCCCACCCGCAGCCAAGTCGAAAGCAGGCCGAACTTTTTTAATCTTTGACGCACCGATGCGCCATTCTGCACATTCGTCTAATAAATTTTTGATGCAATACTGCATCGTGCCCGTGACAAAATGTTAAACTGCTTCTTGGGATTATCTCTGGTGTAACTGTATTTGCCACATTTTTCCATTTTGGGTGCCATAAGTTGACGTCACCAAACAAGATGATGTTTGGGGCAGGGTCTGTGAGATTTTCAAAGCGGTGTTCTATTTTTCTAAGTTGGTCTTTTAACTGCTGAGGATTTACATCAGGTGATTTATATACAAGAACAATCACCTCATTTAGTATTTCTATTTTGGTTATCAGCACTTCCACCACTTCCATCATGTGGTTTTTAACAGCTCTATGCAGAGGAGCATGACTTTGATGTACAGACTGACCCCACCCAGTAGCCTATGTTTTCTATCACATCTGAAAACATTGAATTCCGGTATCCATATCTCATTGTCATAATAGTCCTTTGTGTCAGTTTCAGTCAAAGTTGCAAAGTTGCAAAATGAGGCAAATTGCATTTGCCTCATTTAGAAGACCAGTTAGAAAGTAGACTTTGTTTTGTGTGTTTTGATGCCTTGTGTGTTGGCAAATAAGATGTAATTGTATTTGTGGAAGTGTTGAGTATTTTACTTGGTGTTAATAGCTGTGGTTCTGGTAGGGGTGCCACACTGTGTCCTGTCTAGCATTTGACCGAGTTGATGGTAAGGGTTTGGACATCTCTCACCATTCTTTTTTTTTTCTCTTACTAAAAAAATCCCCCTGGTATGTATGGGTGTTTCTGTATTCGTAATTGCATTCTTTTGATTTTATTTGCTTGTTTTTTTTTATGAAATACTGGGCAATCTCTGTTAAAATATCCCTTCTTGTTTAATGAATTTTTACAGTTTTGGGTGGATTTTCACAACCTGTTGTGAAAACCCCTTCTGGAAATGTTTTCCTCATCAAAAACCATCAAAATTAATCTTCAGTTTTGTCCTTCCTCTTGCCGGTGCCTGTCTGTTTTGGTCACTACGTGCTCCCAAACTATTTCCTTAAAAAACACTATTTCTGCCTTGTTTGTGAAACTTTGTTGGGCTTTTGACTGTTTGGCAGATGTTCATACACGTTTATGCACTCCAACTCTAATGTCTTGTTTATCCCACCGAAACTCAAGAACACTGGAGCTCCCTTGCCCTCGACCCCCTCCCACAACCAACGAAGGAGTCACACACACAGAGGTGGTAGGATACACTTAATATACATAAGCATAATGAGTGTCTCCCCCTCTCTAAAAAACAGTGAGAGCTCAAAGTACGGAGCTCACCGAGCCAGAGGCAGACCACACTAAATGATCATGGAAAGCCGTATCTCATAATATGGACACTGCTCGATATGCTGCTGCCAATGAAAAAATTATCTGCAGTGTGTCTATCCGGTATAAAAAAAATGCTAAATACCCAAGAAAGCCACAGAAGGCAGCCACAGGCTTGGAAGAAATGACACAGCCATGCCCGCCCGCATGAAGAAATCTGCAGAGAAAGCTACTAGTACCAACTGATGCAAACCAGGCAGGGTAACCAGGCACTATTAGTCTAACAATACACATGCCTCAGCCCCAACTTGGAACATATGGTGAAAGGGAAGAGTATACCTCCCACACACTCAACATACACAGACCATAATGAAACACAGCAGCAAATACCTTAAAAAACACTGCTTGAGAAGAGACTCCAGAGTGGGGGTCCTGGATCTCCACAGGGAAATTTACCCTGGATGAGGGGAAGGGCAACACAAACAGCAATTGGGGAAGAAATCACTTTTCACATGCAACTATAATGAACTCTAAATCGGGGTGCACACCAGGAAATACACCAAACACCCATGAAGTGTTAAAAGGTACACACAAAGTCCAAAATAAGGCCATTATATGCATGTACAGTATAAGCAAAAGTCAGGCCCAAGGAGCAGCACAGATCTTGTCAACAGGGCATCAGGTGCAAGAATGAGCAGGGTTACTGTGACAAAAACCCTGGTTACCGGTGCTGCCACATTTTGGTGCACATAAGTGGCAGACCAGTAGTTCGACCCAGATAATGATTATTTACATACTTAGGTACAGTGCTATCAGTGATTACTATGCTATTGTCAGTTTTAATACCCTCTACCGTTCTTAGTCCTTTGATCCCCAAACTTCCCTGGCCTTTATCGAGTCAGATTTGGGTCCTGGTCTTCAGTACGTCCTCATGAATTGATGGAGCCTTTTACCACTCCAAAGAGCAGTATGTGGGCTAGCCAGGCAGGATAGCTCTGGAAGATACTAATGGGGGGGGGGCTCCCAGAAATTCTTCTAATACTGTACAGTATATGGAACTTCATTGAAAAAATGTTTGTTCTAAATATCTCATGAAATGACCAGTAAAAAGAACAGAAGTCTGTATGGGTTATACAAGTAAATACCCACAAGCTCATGCACGTGATCTACATTCCCTGCACCAGTTTGTTTATAAATTGGAGTCTAACTGTTGTTTGTGCCTGTAGATGTCTTCCCCTTTGCCAATACATTACAGTACTCTACAAGTAAACAATGGAAGAAAAGCAGGGCAGTCAAAACTTTAATGATCTGTGGAAGTAGAGCAAACACCCTGATAAAATATAATTAATAGAACACATTACGCAAAAATTCCTAAGCATGTCAAGATCTACCTGTCTGAATATGAGACAGGCAAACATTGAATCTAGTTGTTCTAAGCAACCACCAAGACACAATAATGTATATATACACTGTATTAAGAATAGGCTTGATATCCAAGAGTTTTCCTAAAAAATTACTGGATGATTAGATCTTTGTGACATTTACAATATAACCTCTAAAATCCAGATTATTGTATATAATTTTGAACCAAATCTGGAATGGTACAATGGATTTCCATATATTTTTTTTTTTTTTTTTTTTTTTTTTACACCCCACTATATTTGGGAGCTATCTTATAGCAAATTATAGAAAACTTTTGCTGTATATTTAGACATAATAAATGAACAATAATTGTGCTGTATTGATAATTATTTTGTAAAATACTAAAAATACTTACTTTTTTGTAGCTGGTCTTGTTTACTCAGTATTAGTAAAATGCAGTTTTAGTACTACAGTATGTATTTCAGTTTTAAAAGCATATTCACACACATGGCTTCACATCTTGAATTTAAGTACTGTATTACATAAATTTGCAATAACAGTAGGAAAAACCCAGCGTTAAACGTAATGAAACACCTCTTTCTGGAGGCGCCCCAGTGGCTCCCTGAAGTTTTATATTCCCAAGATTATTTCACATTAAAAGGTCACATGATTTGCAGAAGTTCTCTTTGGCCTACCAAAGACCAGCACTAGACCCTGGCCCCCTAAAAAGAGGTGCAAGGAGCAGGTGAAAATCTGTAACCCGACCAGGAAAAGACCTTCAAGAAATTCAGTGCAGCTTTACAGACAACTAGAGGGTTGTCTGTAAATGAAGACTCAAAACTGCCAAACAACTCCAACCCATACTCAGACCAAGTCCATTCCATCCAGTGGTCATCCCCAAAGATGCATTCATCAATTTTAACATGCTGTTCATTCAAAATAGGAATTTTCTCAAATATAAATTAATAGTGTTATATACTGTATTAGCACACTGCATATTTAGGCATTGGTTAGGTTAGGTGTTTAGATTCTGTTGGCAATTATTTGTATTTGTAGTACGTGGGTGAAGCATTTACAGCATTGTTGTTTGAACAAGTCATCAGCGAAGCATTTGTTCTGGAAGTGTTTGGACATCATCAGTTGCGAGTCATGTGTAAACCATTTTTCATTCATAAACAGGGGGTTTGGCGGGTGCACGAATGGAATTTGGCTATTGTTTATGAGGACAGGCTGACAACTCAGCAAACAATTCACACGGAACAAGGGATTCACTTAAACGAGCTTGATACTTGTTAGTACTGATTACCACCATCAGGTGGCCTGACCCAGGCTCCCAGCTGGCTCACCAAGTCAGTTCTGGACCTGATTAACATACCCATAATGAACCGAAGAAACTGAAGGGTGGTAGAGTGTCATGGAGCCACCAGGAATCCTCCAGAAGGTGTTTCATTACATTCAACATTTGGTTTCAGGATGGAGCCTCCTGGTGGCTCCCTGAAGCTAACAACATATGATGCACAACCCCAGGACACAGGCATCATGGCCCTAACAGGCAACATGCCGGAGGCAGAGAGAATGACTGCTGACCAGTAGCAGGACCAATAAACACCCTTCAAACTCACATGAGTGCAGACTTGTTGGGTTGATCCATAAGAACACCCACGGGTAAAGTACCAGGGGTTTAAAGGTAACTAGCCAAGCAGGACACCCAGGTACTAGGAATGCTTGCCGAAAGAACAGACACCGAAAGCAGCCTATACTAACCCAGCTACAAAGGGTGTCCTCAACATGCTGTATATGCAAATGTACATATGCCCTAGCACACCCCATATAACCAAATATGATGCTGTCAGCCTAGGACACAAGCAGAGGAGTCTATGACTCGTGCACCACCCAGGAAGTCCTTCATCCCAGTTGTCAGGCCTCTTAGGGGAAAACTCCTAAACACACCAGAGAAGGAACTTAACTCTGTCAGTACAGGGGCAATGCTTGATGAGCACCCATCTTCTTGAGGTTATCTGCAGATGATTTCGGGGCTTAGTGTCCCCCTCCTTTTTGTTACACCCCCCAGGAAGCAGCCCATAGCAGCTGTAACTCCCAGGTATCTATTTACTGCTAGGTAACAGGGGCATCACGGTGAACGAAACTGCCAATTTGTTTAATCCTCCACCTGGGATCTAACCCGGAACCTCAGGACTAGGAATTCGAAGTGCTGTCCACTCAGCTGTCAGGCCCCTGTACCCCATGGACAAGTCTATGAATGGCCAGGTCCACGTAAAACTGCCAGGTCGACACAAAATTGCCAGGAAGGAAACCCATACAAATGGCCTTAGAAGGACTGAAGAATGGCTGGCACTTAGCCGAGAAGCTGTGGGACCAGCTGTGAAAGAGCGACATGAGAAGCACACTATTAGTATCAACCAATTCAATGAGAGGAGTAACTGCTTTAGCTGACTGTGGGCTAGAGCTTTGCACTGCCCGGTGGCAGCTATCTGTACTAATAGGTTTGAGCTAGTTTCAAGTGAACAAATTATTTAGTCTCAATCGTTTGTGAAGTCATTTAGCCATTTTAATGCTTTGTTTTCTATGAACCTTGCAGTTGTCTACAAAGCTTCACTGATTTTCTGGACAATTTCCTGGTGAGGGTAGAGGTTCTCTGCCTCCATGGGGATTACAGTCTGGCTTTGATCTCTGGTAGGCCAAATAGGCCTCCTGCAACTGATGTGACCCAGTAGAGTGGAGCCAGCAAGATGCCTTCATTATGACCCATTATGAATATCTTGGTGTCATCCACAGAGAATAATACTGTACCATACCATTCACCTGGACTGTAGGAGTCTTGAATCGTGGACCCCACACATGCGAGGCTCAAGCTCTATCGACTGGGATATGGGTAGTCTTAATAAAGGGAAGTTTCCAGAAGCAGCATCCTGCTGCCAAACTGGAAACTATCCTATATTAAGACTACTCATAGCCCAGTTGATAGAGCTTCGGTCTCACACGCGTGGGGTCCACAGTTCAAGACTCCTACAGCCCAGGTGAATGGAACGTTTATCAACACAGAAGTGTGGATAACAATTTATACTGTACCATAGTTTGTGATAGTGTTTGTGTCAGATGTGTGTGTGTTTTGAAGCAAATACTTGCTTCTTATAAGTACTTAGTCCACTCTGATGGACTAAGCTTTTAACTATGAATAATCCAGTTTTACTTTGTTAACTATTACTCTTTAGGTTCCGTTCATTAGGAAGTCAAAGATCTATCTTTCTAGTTTGGAAGTTTGTTATTTTATTCTTTTCATGAAGTGTGCAATTACACCATCACATGTAAAGTCAGCTCATGTAAATACTGTACACCAGAATACCATTTATCCAAAAATCTGGGTTAACTGGTCAAAAAGAGATTTTGTTTAATATTCAAGATCTGAATGGTGAAGTGCAGAAGCATTTTAAGGCCTTTTGGATAATCTGAAAATGTTGCAAATATTCAGGACCTGAACAGTAATTACCAGTGACTGAAAAATATATGTTCAAATATTAAAAACTTACTCTTTCATGAAACTTTGTCAGAACAAACATATGTACAGTAAATGTGTATCATTTTTGCTAAGAAAATACTTATTTTGGCAAATAAATAAATTATATATTATTATTATATATATTATTATATATATTATTATTATATTATATATATATTATTATTATATTATATTATATATTATATATATATATATATATATATATATATATATATATATATATATATATATATATATATATATATTATTATTATATTATATTATATATTATATATATATATATCATATATATATATATATTATTCAAAAGTACAAATAAACTGAAGTGTTTTGTTCTGATAAGCCAAGTTTTTACTTGAATTTACCTGAGGGCCAATCTCACTAGTGACCTTGACGAAGAATGGAGGCCAGCGGCTTGTCGAAGATCCCAGCATTTGTCCATGATGATTCTGTTGAACTATATTTTAAAAATCAGCAGCATTTTGGCCTTTACGGCTTTGGCGGGCATATGATTCCACGGCTTTGGTTGGGGAATTGCTATTTTCAATGCTCACTGATGTTATTCGGAAAATTGCTGCGAGTTGTGCCACCGCGACAGCTGATAACCTAACAATATTTGTACTCAACCCCAAAAACAGAACAGTAAAAACAATGCATAATTAGTGAAATCTTTGGCATTGGTGTAGCGGTCTAACCTTCCCCACTATACAACCCATAAAATACAGTCAAATTCCAAGGTAATTGCTGCTAGGTGAGCAGAGGCATCAGGTGGAAAGAAACGTGGTCAATCGTCTGTCAGACTAGCGAATTGAATCTGAGACCCTGGGTTGTGTGAGCCGACGACGTAGTCAGCTGACAACCGTGCTTACTCAAGGCTGTTATCTTGCATCAAGCAGCAGCATTACAGTACAGCCATTGGCTCTCTACCCTGCAGCAGCCCCACCTCAGAGCTGTTGAGCAGCCCCGCGGGTCTGCAGCTGCCCTCTGCACCACCAACCTCACTCTCTATACTTACTCTCTCTCTCTCGCTTTAATGATGACCATCACATATAATGGATGGCATTTGTTGTTGAGTTTGTTGATATGGCATGATAAATATTTTTTAGCTCGCAAGATGTGAAGCTTGGGTAGTGTTTATTAGATGTTTACAAGACGCCTACGCAGGCCACCTTTAGTGAGAAATCTTGTCAATAGATGGCGGTAAAATGTGTTATAAGCGGCATGTGATGTTGCTAATAATAATAATATTATATAATTCAGGAAACGTACATACATAGATGCAGAGTTACAAACATAATGTTGGATTTATAGATAGAGCTAGTACATACAATACGTAAAGCCACTAATACGCAAAGCGTTTTGGCCTGCTCCTCTTTAGCTAATCATGCAATATTTCACTTGTGTACAGGCATATTATGCCTAAACGGTAGGAGCAGTGTTGCCAGATTGGGCTACAAATAGCGAATTGGGCTACTTTTGAGAGCCCCGCGCTCCCAAATTTTTAATTTCGCTACTTGCTACTTTTTGGGGTTAATTTAAAAGCAAGATGTGCTAATTTGGGCTATTAATGTTAAGATTGTACGATTGCGAGTTACATGAAAGTAACTAAGCTATAAATAATTGCAATTAATAATAATTGTAAATATTAATTAATACTAAATAATATTATTTAATAAATTAGTCCCAATTCAATGCAGAGTTTTCTTCCAAGCACAGAAACTTGTAAATATAAATACAAGGTAATAGATCAGAATGTATCAGGTTCATGATTTGTACCAAGAGAAACAACAACGGCACTTTCCTGCACCGTGGGAGGTTACACCCTTTCCAGTTTTAATCCCTCCCTTTCCACCCAAGAAGCACATTAGAGATCAGCCCAAGCTTCGTCTTGAGGCAAAGCTCAACGCCTTAAGCCATACTGATGCTCTGTCCACAGAGCATTCTCTCTCTCAAATCATATACACTGATGGTTCCCTACACCGCACCACGGGTGCAGCTGGAAGTGCAGTTGTTCTGACAATGGGCGATGGCTTGTACTTTCAGTGGGGAGTCCGTATAAACAATTGGGCCTCTACCCTTCAGACCGAACTATTTGCCTTGATCCTTGCACTAAAATGTGTACAAGTCTCCAAACTTGATACATTAATTGTAAGTGACTCCTTATCATCCTTAAATGCTCTCAACTCTTTAAGACATAACTGTAACATGCTCGTGTCCGAAGCTAGACACAAATACAACAAAATTATTAAGGGTGGTAACAGAGTCCATTTCATGTGGTCTCCATCTCATGTTGGCCTCCGAATGCATGATAGAGCTGATAAGTTAGCCAAAGAATCTGCCTTTAAAGGAGCCGTTGAGTGTAACCTTGGATTGTCAACGAGCCATCTGAGAGCAGCAGTACACCGAGAACTTCAACAAGATCTTGTAGATCTGAGGCAAAGTGAAATTGACACCAGTAATTCCATCTATCATCATACTATCATGCAAGAGGAGCCACACATCTATGGATCATCTAATAAAATCAGCAGACTTCTAGATGTTACTACTGCTCGGCTTAGACTCGGTTACAAGTATCTATTGGAATTTTCATTACCTGCTGATGTAGACCTGACCAAATGTAAACTGTGTCAACAAAATTATTCGCACACCCTCCGTCACTATTTATTTATTTATTTATTTATGCATATACAAGAATGTACATAAGGAATGTGAGGATACAAATATGGTAATTACAGTCTTGTAAAGCCACTAGCACGCGCAGCGTTTCGGGCAGGTCCTTAATCTAAGAAAATTTTAAGGAGGTAAATACTTGCAAAGTTTATAGACAAAAAAATGAAAACAGATTACATGGAATGAAAAAAAAAGAAGATGAGAGAAAATTATAGGTACAGTATATTAAAGCACATAGGTAGCTATGATTGATTGCAATGACAGCTTAAAATGGTAGTTGACAACAAATTGGTAGGCACAATACAGCAGAAACAATATAAGATTGATTGCAATGACAGCTTGAATGGTAGTTGACAAAAATTGGTAGTCACAATACAGCATATGGCTAGCACATAAAAGAAGACAGCAATGAACACAATGATAAGGTTGTTTGATATTACATAAAAATTAGGAGATTGGGTAACACTAGGTACAGAGCAAATTTAAAGCTCAGTGTAGGAAACTAAATAGATGAAGTTAGGTACTTTTTGGTTTTGCTTTTAAATAAGGCAAAAGTTTTACAGTTTTTCAATTCACTAGGGAGTGAGTTCCATAGACTAGGTCCCTTAATTTGCATAGAGTGTTTACACAGATTAAGTTTGACCCTGGGGATATCAAAGAGATATTTATTTCTGGTGTGGTGATAATGGGTCCTATTACATCTGTCCAGGGAGAGTTTCAGAGCATGGTTTGCATTTAAGAACAGGGTTTTGTAAATGTAGTTGACACAAGAGAATGTGTGGAGGGAGTTAATATTTAGCAAGTTTAGGGATTTAAACCAAGGGAGCTGAGTGTTGTCTGAAAGCAGAGTTAGTTATTATTCTGATAGCAGATTTTTGCTGTGTGATGATGGGCTTAAGGTGGTTTGCAGTGGTAGACCCCCATGCACAGATACCATAATTAAGATAGGGGTAGATTAGTGCATAATATAGTGAGAGGAGAGCAGAGTTAGGAACATAATATCTGATTTTGGAGAGTATACCAACTGTCTTAGAGACTTTCTTAGTTATGTGTTGAATGTGGGTGCTGAAGTTGAGTCTCTTGTCTAGGAATAGGCCAAGAAACTTGCCATCATTTTTATTACTGATGTTAATGTTGTCTATCTGTAGCTGAATTGCATTTGATGATTTGCTTCCAAATAAGATGTAGTAAGTCTTTTCGATGTTTAATGTTAGTTTGTTCGTTGACATCCATAAGTGGACTTTTTTTAATTCATTATTCACAACATTATTTAGTGTATGTGGGTTGAGGTTTGAGTAGATAAGGGTAGTATCGTCAGCAAACAATATAGGTTTGAGAATATTAGAGACATTAGGCAGATCGTTTATATATATAAGAAATAGAAGAGGTCCTAAGATGCTGCCCTGTGGCACTCCAACGGTAATTGGTAGAGTGGAAGAAGTTGTATCATTGATGGTTACATATTGGTGTCTGTCACTAAGATAGGATCGGATGTAGTCAAGGGCAACTTTAGCTAATCATGCAATATTTCACTTGTGTACAGGCATATTATGCCTAAACGGTAGGAGCAGTGTTGCCAGATTGGGCTACAAATAGCGAATTGGGCTACTTTTGAGAGCCCCGCGCTCCCAAATTTTTAATTTCGCTACTTGCTACTTTTTGGGGTTAATTTAAAAGCAAGATGTGCTAATTTGGGCTATTAATGTTAAGATTGTACGATTGCGAGTTACATGAAAGTAACTAAGCTATAAATAATTGCAATTAATAATAATTGTAAATATTAATTAATACTAAATAATATTATTTAATAAATTAGTCCCAATTCAATGCAGAGTTTTCTTCCAAGCACAGAAACTTGTAAATATAAATACAAGGTAATAGATCAGAATGTATCAGGTTCATGATTTGTACCAAGAGAAACAACAACGGCACTTTCCTGCACCGTGGGAGGTTCAACCCGTTCTCGCAAATTCGTAAAGTCAATATTGACTTATTAACTACGTGCATAGGTGATATACTAAACATAACAGATACCCCTAAAAAGATTCATAGAAAACACCGACCTTACCTAACCTTGTTAGTATATTAATATAAGCATCTTATTGCTTCGTAATTACAATTATTACTTAACCTATACCTATTATAGGTTAGGTAATAATTGTAAATACGAAGCAATAAGATGCTTATCTTAAGATACTAACAAGGTTAGGTAAGGTCGGTGTTTTCTATGAATCTTTTTAAGGGTATCTATTATGTTAAGTATGTCACCTATGCACATATTTAATAAGTCAATATTGACTTATTAAATTTGCGAGAACGGGTTGGGGAGGTTACACCCTTTCCAGTTTTAATCCCTCCCTTTCCACCCAAGAAGCACATTAGAGATCAGCCCAAGCTTCGTCTTGAGGCAAAGCTCAACGCCTTAAGCCATACTGATGCTCTGTCCACAGAGCATTCTCTCTCTCAAATCATATACAGTACACTGATGGTTCCCTACACCGCACCACGGGTGCAGCTGGAAGTGCAGTTGTTCTGACAATGGGCGATGGCTTGTACTTTCAGTGGGGAGTCCGTATAAACAATTGGGCCTCTACCCTTCAGACCGAACTATTTGCCTTGATCCTTGCACTAAAATGTGTACAAGTCTCCAAACTTGATACATTAATTGTAAGTGACTCCTTATCATCCTTAAATGCTCTCAACTCTTTAAGACATAACTGTAACATGCTCGTGTCCGAAGCTAGACACAAATACAACAAAATTATTAAGGGTGGTAACAGAGTCCATTTCATGTGGTCTCCATCTCATGTTGGCCTCCGAATGCATGATAGAGCTGATAAGTTAGCCAAAGAATCTGCCTTTAAAGGAGCCGTTGAGTGTAACCTTGGATTGTCAACGAGCAATCTGAGAGCAGCAGTACACCGAGAACTTCAACAAGATCTTGTAGATCTGAGGCAAAGTGAAATTGACACCAGTAATTCCATCTATCATCATACTATCATGCAAGAGGAGCCACACATCTATGGATCATCCAATAAAATCAGCAGACTTCTAGATGTTACTACTGCTCGGCTTAGACTCGGTTACAAGTATCTCTGGGAATTCTCATTATCTGCTGATGTAGACCTGACCAAATGTAAACTGTGTCAACAAAATTATTCGCACACCCTCCGTCACTATTTATTTATTTATTTATTTATGCATATACAAGAATGTACATAAGGAATGTGAGGATACAAATATGGTAATTACAGTCTTGTAAAGCCACTAGCACGCGCAGCGTTTCGGGCAGGTCCTTAATCTAAGAAAATTTTAAGGAGGTAAATACTTGCAAAGTTTATAGACAAAAAAATGAAAACAGATTACATGGAATGAAAAAAAAAGAAGATGAGAGAAAATTATAGGTACAGTATATTAAAGCACATAGGTAGCTATGATTGAT